GCCTCTTTGAGGAATTGAAGAATAATCTCCAAGGATGAAGAAAGTTGCATTTCCTAGACCCAAAAGTGAAAGGATCAAAAAGCTACAGAAAAGAAATAGAAAATTGCATGGTTTAAATCCTCTCCCCCGCCCTCCCCTAAAACCTCTGCTGTTTTTAATATAAGGAGAAATATTCTGATAAGCAGCACAGTCTAAAAGATGCTCCTTCCTCTGCTGTGCCATTCTCTCTGTGTGTGACCCAGGGCAATTCGGGGACCTCGGTGTCCCCATGTCCCCGAGTGTGGCAGTGACACTCCTGCTCTGTGTGCACTGAGACCTTGGGAACATTATTAGTGTGTGCTGGGAATTAATTGGGTTTAGATGCCTCACTCTAACTAGAATAAAGCCTGCTTTTTTTTTCATTAGCACAGTGAGTAATTAACTCTTTGATTTTTCACAGCCTGGGTTTGATTCTCCATCTCAGGTAATTTTTCAGGAATACATAGGACGGGTTATTTTGCCTTTCAGACCAAATGGCACTGAAATGAGGGGAGTTTGTGGCTTTTATTCTGGATGTGATTCCCTTCTGGCCTCTGTTTGTGCATCTCAGACCCTGGTAAGTGCCCCCAGTGACATTTGTGACATTAATTTGTGGTGCATTAGAGGGAAGGCCTGGGATGGGATTATTTTCACATATTGAGGATCTTTTTCTTGCTCAGTTTAATCAGGTCCAGCCATAAAAATATGAAAATAGCTGGGATTTGGTGGCCCTGTCAGCTCACACATGGCAGTGGGTGTGAGGGATCACTGTTGGCATCCCCTGCACAGCCAGGCAGGAGGAAGGATGAGCTGATCCCAGTTCTCCCAGTTCCCATGGCCTGTCTAACCCTGGGCAAGCAGCTGTGGGAAAGAGGGCAGCCTGCCAGGGAGGGGCCAGGGCTGCTGAAAGCTTGGGCAAGAGGATACCTGTGTGCCAGGGAGGAGGAGATGGGCACCCAGCAAACCTGAACAATGAGACAGCAGCGTGATAAGCACTCAGGATCTGGGTTAGCTTGGGCTGAATTCAAATTTCTCCCTGGAGGGGGGAGATTATATTGTGTTAACAATTCTCTGGCCTGCCCAGGCTCCATGGAAATGGGCTCTGAAGTCAGCCAAGGGTACAGGTTTCTCACACTTGCAGCTCTGACCCAGTGGAGGTTAACACAGACATCTCTGCTCTATCCAGCCCATCTGTAATTATAGAAAGCAGCCCCTGAAATGTGTTTCCAATCAAACTGTGGTGCCAGTTACCAGCTAAAGCATGCTCTGTCTGCCTTCTAGCAACTGAATAGCCCAGGTGAGCTGTGCAAAAAGAAACCACGAGGATTGTGAGGGAAAGAGTGTGGCCTCTGCATGCAATGGAATTCTTTATCTCCCTGAAACAGATCCCAGGAGCAGAGGGGGAAGGAAACCAAGTGCAGACAAAGCTCTCCCTGGAATGTATTGAAAGGACCAAATGAGCCCTTCAGAGCAGGGGAGAGAAGGTTTGTTTTAGGGAGTGCTAGCAAGGAAATGTTCAGCTCTGCTGGCCTGCCCAGGAGCAGAATAAACCCAGTGTTGTGTCAACAGGGTAAAAAGGAAGAACACCCAAGTGGTTTTCTGTCTGTTAAAGGGCAAAGAGGCCCAGGAAATGGATTTCAGCTTGGGGCTGCTGCTGAAAGAAACCCAAAAAAGAGAGGAGGGAGGAGAGTGTGTCAGAGCATCGGGGGTAGCACGGTCAGGATGGACAGAGAGCAGAGATCCCTGCAGCCAGGGCTGGAATTTGGGGTTCATTGCAAAGGGCCTGGGTGCAGGGCCCTGCTGGGAGCTGCCAGGCACAGCTCAGAGCAGGACTGAGAGAAGAGAGGGGGAGAGAGGATGAGAGAGTAAAGGGGTAAGAGAGCGAGGTTCCCATTACAATACAATAAATCTTCTTCTGTGTTGGATATTCTAATTCTCACTAACCAATTTAGTACAAGATACAAATCCTACAGCATTTCCATACAGCCTATAAGAATCATTACATCACCATCCTGTGTTACATTTTAAACCCTAAAAACTCCTCTTTGGGCCCCTTCTGCCAAGCTGTAGGGTCTGCTCTGCCCCTTGGGCCTGTCTGCAAGCAGAGGGTGTTGTTCCATCAAAAGGGGATCACCTTCAGCAGCCACACCATTGTTTTCCAGTTGTTCAGTAACTGAGGGATCTCAAAGCTGCTTTCATTTCAATCTCGCTTATAGTTTCCATATTCTCCAAATCTTTTGCCAGACAATCACATTGATAAGGCTTTCCTGTTTCATCTTCCCCAACAAGGGTGGGGCTGGCAGGGTGGCACACAGCAGAGCTGGTGCTGGAGATGGAGTGTGTGCTGTGGGCTGGGCAGCCCTGAGTCTCTCACAGGGGTGAATTTGCCACAGGATGTGCAGCAGGGATGTGAGTCTGCATAACCCTGGCATCAGGCAAGGCTTTCTGTGCTCTGTTTAGAAAGGAGGAGAGGAGAGGAGAGGAGAGGAGAGGAGAGGAGAGGAGAGGAGAGGAGAGGAGAGGAGAGGAGAGGAGAGGAGAGGAGAGGAGAGGAGAGGAGAGGAGAGGAGAGGAGAGGAGAGGAGAGGAGAGGAGAGGAGAGGAGAGGAGAGAAGAAGGCATGGCAGAGAGTGCAGCTTGTTTTACTGCTGGTAATAGATTTGGGCACCTCTGATTAGCTCATTAGATTCTATGACTAAGCCTATTACAGCTTTTCAGTGTGGAGCTGGGGTAGATGTGATGTGCTGATGGCTCAGTTTGTGCTGGCAATGGTCTCACTTGGCTTCTTGGGAGGGAGATTTTCTGCTGAGGAACCCTCAGGTTCAGCTCTGGGCATGCCAGGATTGCCCCCTCAGCCTGGCACCAGCTGTGTGGGTGCCAGTGAGGCAGGGAATTCCTGGCAGAGCAGGAGTTGAGGCAGCCCCTGGGCTGGGGCTGAGCCTCCCCTGTTGTGCCAATGCTGCCATTGTGCCCTGGAGGGTGCCCAGCCTGGGGTGTGGGACAGGACAGAGCTGTCCCCATGCTGTTACAGCCCAGGGGATGCTCTGCAGCCACTCAGCCATGCCTGGGGCAGCTCTGCTCCAGCTCCCTGCCCCTGCCAGGCAGCACAGGCCGTGTCCCAGGCAGCTCCTGCTCCCCACCATGCGAGGATGGAGGTGGGAACCAGGCTGGGTGGGTTTGCCCTCGCTCTCAGCAGGATTTGTCATCCAGGTCAGCCTTGGAGCAGCCTGGCCTGCTGGAGGCATCCCTGCCCATCCACGGGATGAGATTTAAGATCCTTTCCAACCCAAATAAGCTGGGATTCTCTAATTCTGTCCTTGAGCACTGCCTGCTCAAGGACAGGATGGAGGTGCCAGCACTGGGTAGACAGGAGAGAAGGGGGCAGCTGGTAAGGGGCAGGGGGACACTGCCAGCAAAGGGTGCAGCTGCTGCAGCACCAACACAGCCAGTGCTGCTGGGTCTTACATCCTGAATGAGCAGTGGCTATGGCTTGGCAGGTTTTAGGTGATTTTATGTGGTTGTGGGTGGGCAGGTTTTAGGTGATTTTATGTGGTTGTGGGTGGGCAGGTTTTAGGTGATTTTATGTATCTGGCTCCAGCAGGACCCTGGGGGCAGGGGGTGGCACCCTGAGGGAACTCCTGTGCCCAGAGCTGGACGTGGCCCTGCAGGGATCGTGGCACCAGCTCTGTGTGGCAGCACAGAATCACAGACTGGGCCAGGGCAAGGGCCTCAGGGGGGTCACCTGGTCCTCCCTGCTCCAGCAGGGTTATCCCAAGGCACAAAGCTGTGTCCAGGTGGTTTGGGAGTCTCTCCAGTGAGGGTCCCTTGGTCCCTGAATCATAAAGTTCTTCCTCCTGTCCAGGTGGAACTTTCTGGGCTCAGTCCCTGCCCATCCCCCTTGTGCCAGAGCAGAGCCTGGGCCCTGCTCGGAGCCCTCCCTGCGGGCTCCAGACAGAGGTGAGATCCTTTCTGAGCCCCCGAACAGCCCCAATTCCCTGTCAGGGAGGTGCTCCTGTCCCTCCATCTCTGCCCCCTCCCTGCCCCGCTCCGCGATGTCGCTGTCCCCGCCGTGTTGAGGAGCCCCGAGCTGTCCCCAGCGCTCTCGAGGCGCCTGCGGGCCCAGCAGAGGGTCGGGATCCCCTCCCTGACCCGCTGCCATCGCTTTTCTCGTCGCGTCCCAAGGGAACCCTCCTTGGGGACAAGGATTACGTCATCGGCGTCACCGTCTCCACGGCAACGGGGGCGCGCCCCTGCCACGTGACCGCGCGCGGCGTCACGTGATGTTTGGAGCTGCTTCCGGGTCGATGCGGGACGCGGCGGCCGGGCCTGGGTGAGCGGGGCTGGGGACAGAGGGACAGCGGGGCCGGGACACGGGACAGCGGGACACCCCCGGCACCGCCCGGGCTGCCACGGAACACACCGGGCCCGGCCCCGGCAGCCGCGCGGTGCGAGAGCGCGGAGGCCGCTGTCAGCCGGGGCCAGCCCCAGGCCGTGTGCGGGGACGGGGACAGCGACAGGGAGAGGGACAGGGAGAGGGAGAGGGACAGGCCGTGTGAGGGGACGGGGACAGCGACAGGGAGAAGGACAGGGACAGGCCGTGTGAGGGGACGGGGACAGCGACAGGGAGAGGGACAGGGACAGGCCGTGTGAGGTGACAGGGACAGGAAAGTGGACAGCAATAGGGACAGGGACAGGCCATGTGAGGGGACGGGGACAGGGACAGTGACAGTCTGTGTGAAGGATGGGGACAGGGATGGGCATAGTGACAGGGACAGGCCGTGTGAGGGGACGGAGACAGCCACAGGGACGGGGACAGGGACAGTGACAGGCTGTGTGAGGGATGGGGACAGGGAGGGGGACAGTGACAGAGACAGGCCGTGTGAGTGGATGGGGACAGGGAGAAGGACAGGGTTTGAGTACAATATGATGACAGGGACAGGCCATGTGAGGGTTGGGGACAGTGGCAGTGACAGGGACAGGCCGTGTGAGGGCTGGGGACAGTGGCAGTGACAGGCTGTGTGAGGGGACAGGAACAGGGACAGGGACAGGCCGTGTGAGGGCAGGGAGAGGCAGAGAGGCCTCGTGGGCTCTGAGCTGGCAGGGGGCAGCTGTGGGCTCGTCCTGCCCCAGGCCCCGCAGCAGGGCCGGGGATGTCCCACAGGGAATGTCACTGCTGTGGTGGGACAGGGGCACAGCCGGGCCAGCAGCGGGACAAGGGACAGGCCAGGTGTCCCCTGTGTGCTCCTCAGCACAGTGCTGGGCTGGGGGAGCAAACAGCCCTGCTGGGTTTGATGGGGCACTGGCAGAGTGGCCTGGGTGCTTTGTCCTGCTGGCTCCCTGCTTCAATCCCTGGGAAATCCTGCTGGGATCTCCCTGCCCTCGGCACACAGGGTGGAACTGGATGATCTTCAAGGTCCCCTTCCACCCCAAACCATTCTGTGATTCACTCCTCTGCCTCTGGAGATCATCTCAAAAATAATTTCCCTGAATCATGTCTCAGAAGAACAATTGCAGCTCCTTGCAGGCGGATGTTTGTGCTGTTTCTCCATTCCTGAGGCTTTGTTCTGTGTGTGTACAAACACAGCAGAATGTGTTTGCTGTGTGACTGTTCAGGATGTGCCCCCAAGGTGTTGAGTGGCACTGGAATTTCATTAGCATGCCATTCATGGTGTCATTCTCCTGAAGGGTCTCTTCTTCTCCTGGGAGGCTCAGGGCACAGGGGATGGAAATGTTTTCCATGCTGGTTTCAGTGATATTTGTGGGTGACATTAATTTGTGGTGCATTAGAGGGAAGGCCTGGGATGGGATTACTTTCAGATATTGAGGATCTTTTGCTTGCTCAGTTTAATCAGGTCCAGCTCTAAAAATAGGAAAATAACTGGGAATTGGTGGCCCTGTCAGCTCACACATGGCAGTGGGGTGTGAGGGATCACTGTTGGCATCCCCTGCACAGCCAGGCAGGAGGAAGGATGAGCTGATCCCAGTTCTCCCAGTTCCCATGGCCTGTTTAACCCTGGGCAAGCAGCTGTGGAACTTTTCCATCAGCTGGAAATTGTTTCCATGATGATTTTGGTGTTCTCCTTTAACCCAGCAGCTGGAAATGTTTTCCATGCTGGTTTCAGTGTTTTCTTTTCACCCATCAGCTGGAAATGTTTTCCATGCTGGTTTCAGTGTTCTCCCTTCACCCATCAGCTGCAGCAGCACACTGGGTTTCCCTGGAACCAGTCTCAAGTCAGGGTCCTGCCCCTCTTCCCAGACCTTTCCCAGTGCTGCTTCCAGTTTGGGAATCCCAGCAGGGGAAGGATGTGGAGCTCCTGGGGAGAGTCCATGGGATCAGAGGGGTGGAACAGCTCTCCTGGGTAGAAAGGCTGGGAGGTTTGGGGTTGTTTACCTGGGGAGGGGAAGGTTTGGGGTGACCTCATTGTGACTTTCCAGTGCTTGTAGGGAGACAGATGGGGAGGGACTTCCCAAGGGACTGGAGTGACAGGACAAGGGGGAATGGCTTCAAAGTGTCAGGGAGTGGCTTTAGGGTGGATATTGGGGTGAAATTCCTCCTTGTGAGGGTGGCAGGCCCTGGCACAGGTGCCCAGAGCAGCTGTGGCTGCCCCTGCATCCCTGGCAGTGTCCAAGGCCAGGCTGGATGGGGCTTGGAGCAGCCTGGGACAGTGGAAGGTGTTGGAATGGGGGAATGAGATGATTTTTAAGGTCCCTTCCAACCCAAACCTGGGATTCTGGGATTCAGAATTCTGGGATTCTCTGTCCTTCCTCACTGGGGCCACAGCCCTGCAGCAGAGCACTTCAACATCACAACAAAGGCTCTTTGTTGCCACCTCTCAAAGCCCAAGTGCCTCGTTTGCACTCTGTGCTGTCATTTAGAAAACCCAGAGTTATTTTGAGCCCTGAGTTGTCCCCGGTGCTGTCAGCAGGGCCAGACTCAGAAACGTGCACCTTGCAGGTCACCCTGTCCTGCCCTGGTGCTGCCAGCATTCCCTTGGAACCCGTCATTCCCTCTGCACATCCTGCTGCTCCTTGCTCCCAGCAATTGTTGGGATTCAGAGAAGCCCCAGGAGTGAGAGATGATTATAGGGAATGTGGAATCCCATGGGAGGGGAGCTGGGAGAGGTCACTGCCCGCCCCACAACATTTTTGTCATCTCACAGTGGCACAGTGCTTTTCAAAAGTAGAGCTTGAGGAAGAAAATGTTGGGGATTCAAAGCTGTTGGATATAAATGTAAATGCCAGTAGTTTTTCTTCTCAGTTCTGGATTGCTCTCACACTGGAGCTGAACCCAGCATTTTTTGCCTCTGAGGTGAGTTTCTCCTGTGGAATTTCCAGCTAATGTTTGTTCAGCAGATAAAGAGGGATGGAAAAGCCACGTGAAGGACACAGGGCTTTATGCACATGGGAGTTCCAGAATTTCCAACCAGGAGTTCTTAGTGGGTGTTTGGAAAGCTCTGTGTGTCTGTCTGGGCATGGTGCTGAGCTCCCAAACCACTCTGGAACGAGGCCTTTCAGGCCTTCAATGCCCATTGTTCCTGTACCATGTGGAATGGTTTAGCCTAAAACTAAATGCCTTGTTCCTATCAAACTCCAGTTTGAGGATTAATTTTTTGATTCTAGGTAGAGTAGTGACATGAGTCAAGTTTGAGCTATGAATCAACCAAGCTGTTGAGAGATGAAAATTGTGGTTTTGGGTTTTGAAAATTGTTGGTTTTTTCTTAAAGACTTATCCTGTAAATTCCTATTTGTGACATTTAAACTTTATATATAATATAAAAATGATGACATGCTTCAGTCAATTGCTGCTTATTGTATTAAAATCCTTTTGCTTGGTGGGTTTTAGGTAGTCTGGTCATGAAGAAGTGAAGTGGAACTTGTGATTCTCAGCAAAGGGAGCCTTAGTGAAATCACTTTTGTTAAGAATTTTATATCTAGCTTTATATCCTTGCCTGTAACAAGTCTAAGGGAAATAAATGGGCAGAAACTTTAATTCAAGATTGGCAACATGGCTTGCAATGAATGTGTGGCCCAAGTCTGAGGTTTACAAATGTGATTTTGGAGTAATTAGTGGAAAAGCTGCCCTGTGACTAATTGTGCAGTGTAGGAAACCTGCCCTGGTTCCTGCACGTTCAGGACTGTGGTGCTGTGTCCGTGAGGGGTGGCAGGACCAGGAGACCTCTGGAAACAACAATTCATGAGCCCACCCTGCTCCTGTGTTACAAACCCATCAAATGCACAGGAAAACAGGGCAGAGACAGGGGCTGAGTCCCACCTGGGCAGGGCAGAGCCTTGGCCTTGGGGGGTCCTGGTGCCAAAACCACTCCCAGCTGAGTCTCAGTATCTCTGCAGGCAGCTCAGCTGCCCGTGATGGGGCCAGGCCTCCTTCCTGTGCTGCTCTGTGCCATGCCCAGATACCAAGGGCACAGTTATTATCTCCCAGATACATTAGGCAGCTGCAGAATGGAATTGGCAGAAATTGCCTTTGGGCCTGGCCAGACAGTGTTTGGTGACACAGCAGAAAGGGGAAGTTGGCAAACAGCTGTTGGAGCAATCTCCTGCTCACAAACAGCTGTTTGCTCCTTCCCCTCCTGGAAAGGTGCTTGAGCTGTTTGCTCCTTCCCCTCCTGGCTGCCCTGGAATTGTGTTTGACAGTAGCTGTGGATTTCTCACAGTCCTGTGGGAGGGGCACAAGTGACAAGTACAGAAGTCACCTTTTGCAGCCTGGAATTGTCCTGGAAGAGCACCTGGGGTAAGGAGGCTTGGCCTCTAATGCTGTGTCTGTACAGCACCAAATCTTCTGACTTTGTGTTCTTTTCAAGTCATGTTTTACTTTAATCTTGCATTTGAAATTGGACCTGTGAGATGATCTGGAAAATAAACCCTGTGACCCATCTGCTTGTTCTCAATCACCACTATTAGAAATGATTATAACTTGCTGACTGCTCATATGCTCTATTTTTCTCTTTTTTTAACCAGAAGTCCAAGAAGGGAGCATGGACCAGCCCAGTGGAAGGAGTTTCATGCAAGTTCTGTGTGAGAAATACAGCCCTGAGAACTTCCCCTACCGCCGTGGGCCTGGCATGGGGGTGCACGTCCCAGCCACTCCACAGGGCTCACCTATGAAAGGTAAATTCTGATCCTTCTGAGCATCTGGGGGGTGCTGGGAGCAATCAGCTGCAAGAGGAATCACCTTGAATTGCCCAGAAAAAGAACCATCACCATGTGGTGTTTTACTGGAGAGTTGAGAGAGTGGAATCTGACAAAGGGAGAAAGCAACTGAAATGATTGCTGCAAAAAACCAAATTTCTCTATGGCATAACAGAATCAGAATTAGAGAAAAGAATAGAATTGTTTGGGTTGGAAGGGACCTTCAAGATCATCAGGTTCCAGCCCTGTGAGTGGAAGATGGACCTGAGGCCTTGTGCAGTTTGTGTTTGAGGGTTCAGCATTCCTTGGAGCTTTCCTTCAGGCCACTGCTCCTATTTTATTATTGGCTGCAGCAACAGGTGTTTTGGCAGAGGTGGCTTAAAAATACATCAAATATCTAAATTTGAGGTTGGTTCCCATGCCACCAGCTTGCTTTGATGCCTGCAGGGACAGGAGGGGACATGTTTCAGGCAGAGTGCTGAGTTGTTGAATCTCTGCTCTTGTGACAAGTGCCTCAGTTGAACTTGCAGTGTTCTTTTTCATCTTAAGGCACCAAATGCTTTGTGACCTAGTGGAGAATTCCCTTCTCCTGTGCTCCTGACCTTGCTGCCTCCAGGGAATTTAGCCAGATGTGTGTCTGAAGCTCTGTGCTGCTTGTGGATGTCCTTGAGCCTTCCAGACTGCAGAATCTGTGTCACCATCTCCTCTGAACTAGATCCATGTGACACCTTTTAGTCTTCCCTAATGCTCTGATGTTGGCATTTAATTCTTGGTTTGTACAGATGGGTCTGAGATTCACATTGATCCCATCAGAGCTGCCCGTTCTTTGTGTCACACATCCTGCCCATCATGATCTGTAGGAGGGATCCAAACTTCCATCAGGTCAATTTGTGTCAGAACCAGCCCCAAAGGGAAAAACAGCCATGGAAATCAGCTGGATGAAGTTTCCAATAACTGGGTTTGACAGAGGAGAAAAAAGGGCCTGAGTTCAGCTGAGGATAAAACACTCTGAGAATGCACAAAAATGGCCTGATGGAATGTGCAGTCAGTGCCCTCTCTGCAGGTAAATTTACCTCTCTCCTCCTCACCTGAGCTGTTGGGGTGCTGAAAAGAGGCCACATCTTAAAATGTGACTGAGACATGACTTACAAATACTGCATTAGTAACTCCCAAAGTGCCACACTGTCCTTTAAAGAAACCAAACACTTCTGAGCCAGAAAACTTGGAAACCCAGATGACTCCAGGTAATTGTTTGCTGCCAGAATCCCTTTCTAGCTGTGCAGCTGTCAAGTGCTGAGGAGAAAAGGGGCCACCTATTTAGGGAAAAGCTTGTGGTTAGATTTTAATGGATTTTCCTGCTCCAGAGAGGTGGGAAAGCCATGTTATACATGAAGGTGTGTAAGACTGATGGCTTGCCTTGCCTCAACATGGATTTCTTTTGTGGAAATTGTTTCCTGTTACAAACTTTTTGTCATGGTTTAGCCTTAGCACAGCAGGCTGTGATTGAGATCCAAATCCTTGCTTGATGCTTTGAGTACATTTACCTGTCTGAGGAGGAGCTGGAGCAAAACCACAGCAGAAATGGAAAGGCAGAGCAGAGACCTGAGCTTTTGAATAAATGCTGAATGCTCTACATTGAACCTTGGGAAGGGAAAGCTTAGAAAGGAAATGTTTAAATACCTCCTAAGAAATGTTTAAATACCTCCTAAGAAATGTTTAAATACCTTCTAAGAAATGTTTAAATACCTCCTGGCTGTTCCTAGGCCCAAGTGGGCTCCGGGCAAGAGGATAAGGGAGTCTGACTGTCCAGCTGGCACTCCCCTCGTCCTGTGTCCTATCTGCAGCAGCAGCAGCTGCTGGGGAACAGCAGAAGTTGTGGCAAGGACTGATAGGAGACAAGCCATAAATGACAAAGACAGGCTTGAAATGCACAGAAATGCAGGCAAGAACTGAAGAGCACTGATAGGAGTGGTACTTCATGTTTACAACCAAGGCTTCAGGATGGTGTCCGCTACAAAATCCGTGTTTAACCCAAAACCGGTGCAAATGCTGACATTGCTGGTGGATTTCTCTTGCTGGCTGTAACATCCATGTTTGGGGCTGGGGTCTGTAACTCCAAGGCAGTGGTGAGCAGAGGCAGCTTCTGTTTTTCCCTGTGCCAGACCGCCTGAACCTGCCCAGTGTGCTGGTGCTCAACAGCTGTGGCATCACCTGTGCCGGGGACGAGAACGAGATCGCCGCCTTCTGCGCCCACGTCTTCGAGCTCGACCTCTCTGACAACAAACTGGAAGACTGGCACGAGGTAAAACGGTGATGGGCACCTCACTGGGTGCCTTTCACAGCTATTACTGGCTGCAACTGCGTTGCTTTGATGAGAGTCCCAGTTTGGTGGCTCCTTTCTCATCTCTGAAGGTGATGTTTATTTACTTTGACAGCAGCTGAGCAATATATGTGATGCAATTAATCCAGTGTGGCACTTCACTCCTGTACCTCGTGACTTACAGTCTTGGCCCGTGGGTGAAAAAATCTGTGTTTTTATTTTATTTCATCATGCAAAGCGCTGCAACTGGCATTTCTGGCACCAAGAAGGTAATGAGCAGTTTAGTTTTTAACAGAGTGGCAGTTGATTCCCAGCTTTGCCACTGTGATGGTGGGCAAGGTATTTATTCCCTCTCCACATTTGTTGCCTTATCTGCAGAAGAGATTTAATAATATTTACCACAAAGGGTATTTCTGCAGCCTCATTAATTAATGCTAAATGCTGTTGTAAAACCCTTTGAAGTGCTTGGGTGAAATAATGCTCAATAAATGCAATGTAACAGGAGTGAAACAATCTCAATCCATTCAAGTGTCATTAAGTTCCTCACTGGATTATGCTGTCCTTTTATGTTAGTGTTTATTGTTGGAAATATGTGGAAAAAACCCAGGATATCGTGGGCTTTTGTGCCATCAGATTGTTGTGTCTCTAAGCAGGGAGGGAATGCAGTGTTTGCAGTGTCCCAGCTCAGTGGGGCTGAGCTCATATCTGGTCATACACTGCACATCTCACACCCTGCTCTGTGTTCAGTCTCTTCAGGCTGCCCTGGGACTGAAAGGCTTCTGTGTGTGCTGGCCCCTTCCTCTGAGACAGGATTAAGTTTTCACAGCCCATCCACACCAGATAAATATCTCCCCACCCCTAAAACCTGCCCGTGCTGGGGATCCCTGGGTAGCCTGTTCCCATGCTTAGCTAATAACCTCATAGGCTAAACTGTGTAATTTAAGTCTCCTGTGCTGCAATTTCAGCCAATTTCTGCCTGCCCTGGTCTCAGTAGGCAGGAGGAGCATCATCACTGTTCCTTATACAACAGCTTTTTATACCCACTAAGAACTTTAATGCCTCCATTCCTTATTTTGTATAGTACTGAAAAAAATACCCTTCTTCCAATCATCCATCATAAGCCATTTTTGTGTAAATCCTGTGGTTTTGGTGGACTGATGTCATCCAATTTGCCTTCTTAATTCCTGAGGTGCAGCACCCAGACCATGACATCACCTGAGGGAGGCGTGGAGTGAGGCAGACTCATTACCCACCTGAGTTCATGAGACAATCTCCCTTTGCCAGCAGCTGGGTGTCCATTTATTGACCTCTGTGTGCCATGGTCTGCCCATTTGTGCCAATCCCAGAGCTTTGTGGAGATCTCCAGCCAGCTGTTCTGACTCACAGTTATTTTCTGCATTGATTCCTGCTGGTGTTGGAAGCTTCTTCCCACTCAGTTCCCCAGTCAAGGAGGGAATTGAGGACTGGCTGAGCTCTGTGGGGAGCTGGAGAAGTTCTCAATGTTGGCCATGGAGGCAGGAGAAGTGCCCATGGCCCCCTGTGAGCAAGGGCTGGCTCCTGGAACGTGCAGCTGCTCAGCCTTGGGGTTGAGGTGGATTTATGACCTCTCCCAAGGGACTGCCTTTCTCTTATCAAGCTGCTCCTAGAGTGTAATTAAATGAACTCTTGAGGAGAATGAGCAATTAACCAATCCATCTAGATCAGGAATGGCTGGAGTATGAATTACAGGTAGATATCCCTGTGTTTTCCCCCATCTCATTGCTTTGTGATGATTCCACAGAGCCCCTTTGAGGAGGTGGGATATTCTTGCCAGAGGTTTGATTACTGCCTGATACACATTTCTTTCTTTCTGTTTTTTTTTTCTTCCCTCCCCACTTAGGTCAGTAAAATTGTGTCCAACGTCCCTCACTTGGAGTTTCTAAACCTGAGTTCCAACCCTCTCAGTTTGTCCGTTTTAGAGAGAAGTTGCGCTGGGTCTTTCGCTGGCGTCCGCAAACTTGTGCTCAACAACAGCAAAGCTTCCTGGGAAACAGTGCACACCATCCTGCAGGAACTGCCTGAGTAAGCCTGGCAGTCTGGGGGTTCACTGCACTCAGGTCAAGGCTGGGTTATGGGGTCATGGGGTGAGGGGGCTGTGAGGATAAAACATCAGCAGATAAAAAGGGGTGTTTTCCTTTGGGAGTGTGGGAACTCTAGGTGAATGCTTTACATTGTCCTAAAAACCAAGCTTGGGTGGTGCTGCAAAGCCCAGGCCTTCTCTTCCTCCAAACCTAAATACCAGAGATGGATAATCACCCCAAAAGTGTAGGAGGGTCCCACTTCCCTGTGAGTCACTGTGCAGTGAATGGTGCAGGACATACCTTTTAAATGGGAGCTACTCTGAGGGTCTGGCCACTTGTCAAGGAATATTTCATCCTGCTTTTCTGTGCTAAATGTCGATTTCTGTGGTTTGGTCACGGGCCACCTTGGCATTCTGCTCCCATGGATGTCCTCAGTGGCTTTGTTTTGATGACAGATCCCTCTCTGTGTGGCTCTGTGAGCAGAGATGATGACAACAGAATGTCCTGCATGGCCAACGTACACTTCTCTGGGATTGTGAGAGTTCAGTTGTCTGAAAACTTAGTGGGACCAGTTCTTTCTTTACTGGGATCTGTTCTTTCTTTAATGGTAATCTTTGGCAGTGATGTGGGGAAAAAAATCATCATCAGTGTTGTATCAAAACCCCATTTTAAATTGAGCTGAGAGCACTGGGAGCAGGTCCCAGTCACTGCTGGAGCTGGGTTGGTGGCTTGTTGGGCACAGAAGCAGGAGACAACCCCAACCAATCTGTTACACAATACTGGGAGAGACTCAGGGAGCACTTAAAAGGGTTTTTTAATCTCTGAAGAAATGGATGGGAGCAGAGATGTAGTTGAAACGCTCTGTGGAGTGCTCAAAGGCCTTCTCTGCAGCGAGGTTCTCAGAGCTGTTACAGAAAGTTGTGTTAAAATCCCATAAAATTGATGATGTGATCCTTTCTGCCCTGTGCAGCTTGGAGGAACTCTTCCTGTGCCTTAATGACTACGAAACAGTGTCTTGTTCTCCAGTTTGCTGTCAGTCTCTCAAGCTACTCCACATAACTGACAACAATCTTCAAGACTGGACTGAAATTCGAAAGTTGGGAATTATGTTTCCATCACTGGACACACTTATCCTGGCTAACAACAACCTCACCACCATTGAAGAGTCAGAAGATTCCCTGGCAAGGCTCTTCCCCAACCTAAGATCCATCAACTTGCACAAGTCAGGTGAGATCCTGGAAGCTGGGATGGGTTTTGTTGGTTCATCACAGTCTCTCCTCTGTATGAAGAGCAATGAACTTGCCCATCTGTGGGATTTTCCTGCTGCTTTGGGTACTCAGTCATTATCAAAGGATGAGTCAGAGCAGTGTGGACCAGTTAATCCAAATGAGCTGGAAAGGTTTTTTATGTTGGTAGTTTCCCTCTGTTTCCCATCCCTGCCTTAGGTACTCCTGGCTGGGGAAGGATAAATAAATGCCTGGCAGTGGAGGGGATGAAAGGATCCCATTTTCCCTTTATTCCCTGTTTTATCTTAGGTAAAATGAGGGCATGTGCAGGTATGCAGTGTGGATCAGGCATCCCCCAGCAGAATCTGTGCTCAGCCATTCCAGCCTCACAAGTGATGCTGGCAGCTGCTTTTACACTCCAGCCCCAGAGAATTTTCAGCCAACGCTCCAGAAAGAGAATGAGCGGTTGGAATATTGGGAAGAGCACCCTGTGCTGGGAGAGAAGGAGCTGCAGGGCAGCTTGTGGGGGCTGTGATGTGTTTGTGGATGACACATACACCAGAAACTCATCTGCAGGAGTGCTTCATGCACCAGCAGCTTTTGTTCTTTACAGCTTTATATGCTGTGCAAGTGCTGCTGAAGTGTCAGGCAGGTAGAAGGGACTTTATTAACATGCCCTACAATGTAAGCATCAAGGAATCCCTGTAATAAAAGCTTAACTAGAGGAGGAAAAGCCTGTTAAGCTACATTTGAAAGCACTGTCTCACCGAGGAACAAGTGCTCTTCTGGTAAGTAGTTTTGCAGTTTTGATGCCAGGTGCTTAAGAAGTGTGGGCTCTGTGTTGCATTTTGATGTTTTGGGAGCTGAAAGTCAAACAGGAATCCCAAGGAGGTTGTTAAAACTTTTTGGGGGTTTTAGAGGAAGCTGCTGCACTCTGAAGTTCTGGCAGGCATGGACTCCGAGATGAGTTGTGTTGATCTCACCACACAATTGTGGCTCTGCTGTGCTCAATCCTCAGCTTTGTTTTATTTTGCCCTCCCTGCTTGCTTTGTTATCCCAAATGTCAGGTCTTGAGGGAGCTGAAAACGAGTTAAAACCTTTTTCATTAAATGGCTGGATGGCTTCTGGGACTGTTTCACCATTGGGTTATGAGCAGAAATGGGACCCAGGGTGGTTGTGTATGTGAGGTAAAGCCATTTGATGGCTGTTTAGTGATGCCTGGAATGAAGGAAGTGCTGGTGGCTTTAGCACTCTGAAGGCAGCATCCCTTTACAGAGACATCAGTGATGCTGGTCAGCCCCCAGCAGTGAGGCCAAAGGCTGAGTGGTCCATAAAAAAGCCATGGAGAGCATCCTTATACACTTGGAAACAGCACAAGGGAATTTCAGCTCCTCTATCTTGTAAGCAAATGTTGATTTTTTTTTTAGCAGCACACGGTGAGCAAAAAGCCAACTTCTCAAAGGAGCAGCAGTGACACTCTCCTGTCACATATGTTCTTTGGCTGTGTCTGATTATCTTGGATCCATGGTGTGTTTTCTGTGTTTGTTAACACAAATCTTTCCTCCTGAGCAGGGCTGCATTGCTGGGAAGACATTGACAAGTTAAATTCTTTCCCGAAGCTCGAGGAAGTGAAATTGCTGGGAATTCCTCTGCTGCAGTCTTACACCACCGAGGAACGCAGGAAGCTGCTAATAGCCAGGTCTGTTGGTTTGTTCTGCTCAGCAGAAACATGGCAAGGCAAGGAAGGGGTGGGAGCAGGTGATCAGAGGAAGAGGCTGGCAGGAGATGAAGTTCTGTGTGAAGGCAGAAAGATTGGAGCTTGATTTGTTGGGTGGGAGCAGCTCATCAGAGGAAGAGGTTGGTAGGAGATGGAGTTCTGCGTAAAGGCAGAAAGATGGGAGCTTCTTTTGTGGAAAAATCAGAGAAATGAAAATCTTAAATCTGACTGCTCTGCTTCTCAGGGGATTTTGTGAGTCTCCTACAAATCTGTGCACATGTGGTGAAATGAAAATGCCAAATTTTGAATATTCTTGAGAAATTACATGGAACATTCCCACTCACTCAAAGGGATCGAACCCTGAGCTTCCTGGCAGGAATTCCCATGGTGTTAAAGCTGAGGCACTTTGATGTTCCAGCCTTGCTGTTGAGCCTGTCTGGGCTCCCTGCTGGCTGACTGTGGCTCTTGGTGTGTGCCTGCAGGTTGCCATCCATCACCAAGCTCAACGGCAGCATCGTGGCCGACGGCGAGCGCGAGGACTCGGAGCGCTTCTTCATCCGCTATTACATGGAGCTCCCCGAGGAGGAGGTCCCCTTCAGGTAGGAATTCTCTGGCCTGCAGTGGACAGCAGGGACTGGCCAGGTGATGGGAGATGTGTGCCAGCTCTTCCATCCCTCACCTTCCTCCAGCCTCCTCACCTTCCCCCAGTCTCTTTGGGCTAAAATTGTTGTGTTTGTGTTGTCTGATGATTTGTGGGGTCACTCCTGAGTCAGATTTGGTCTTAAAAGTGTGGCAAGTGCCATTAAACAACAGGACTGTTCAGGACATGACCTTCACTGTTTCCTGGCCTCTCCCACAGCTCCCTTCATAATCCACCTGTGTTTGGGAGTGCCCAAAGCCAGGGCACATCGTGCTCTCCACTGCCAGGCCAGGGCATCTAATCCTCAGCACCATCTGGTGTGTGGAATGTGCCTGGCAATGGGAAGCTGTCCCCTCACTTTCAGGCCTGCAAATCACAAGTCTGATGGGTTTTCTTTGCCAAAAAAGTACATCCAATGATCCGCTCATCTTGGTAAACTAATGAACTTGGACAGATGCTGTTCAGTCTGTATCTTTTTTGTGCCAGCGTCCACTTACTGCTTCTAATGGGCTGAGGAGGGATCATGGAGCATCAGGCCACTGCCTTTACCTGCCCTCTGCCCTAAAACCTCATGTGCTTTTGGACAGCAAAGCTTTATTATCCTTTTTTTTACTGAAAAAGGATAGAACAGAAGTGTGTGTGTGTGACTCTGAGGGCACAGGCAGAGGTGGGGACACACTGAAGGTCACAGGTCTGGCCTGGCATGGATGACAGAGGTGCAAATGGCATCTGCTCAGTGTTTTCCTCTGCTTAAGTCTCAGCTAAAATGCCTCTTGTTTTTCTAAAGCACTGGATATGTGACTTGCCAATCCAGTAGGGGGGTGGGAAGGCTGGAGTGGGGAATGAGGGCATGGCATTTTGTGTGAATATTAATAGGGTCAGTGATTATAATATTTGTTAAAAGTATGCTGGGGTCAGTTCAGAGGCAGAGGGCACTCATGCAGTCAGGGAGACAAGACAGCTGGTCCTTTTTCTGAGGACAAGCCCTGACTTGTAATTTTAGAGGGCCTTGAAGCGTAAAAATTGAAGGAAATATTGGAAGGGATAACAGCAGAGACAGAGAATCAGGAGAGAGGAAAGGGAAGGAGAGACTGTGACTGTGAGTTCATGGTGCTGCTCCCAAAAAGGGATTAATTTCCATAACATTTCATATTTCTTGTGTTTGGTTGTGACAGAATGTCAGTGATCCATATATTGCTGGGAAGGACACAGTGGGGTACAGCTTTAGGCACTCATGCTGCCTAGGACATGGGGTTTGGGCACAGGCTGTGTGTCACACATCACCACACACCACTGGGGTTGGTTTGCAGGTGGGATCTCATGTAAAAGATGACTGACATCTCACCCATCCTGGAAAACCAGGCTAGTTTTGACCAACATGCCAGCTTTCTGCTAGAAAAATCACCTCCCCCTCAGATTTCTTAGCCTTTAAACACTGGTGCTGCCTTTTTCATGGTCAATGGCCTCTTTGTCCAAATCCCTTCATCTGTGCAGCGTTTCCAAGAGACTTCTGCAGTGCCAGAGAGGGTTGTTGTGTCCTGGAGGGGTTGGGGGCCACTGCAGACTCTTTTCTAGTGAGGCTGCAGATGGCTGAGAGTGTCCCCAGTGTTTCAGTTCCTGGACCCACAGCCAGCAGCCCTTGTCCAAAGGGAGAGCTGACATTTCTTGCAGAGGGATTCTGTGTCTGTTTGTCACTAAAGCTTCCCCTTCCTCGCTCCCAAATCTGGTGTGGGGTGGCTCCAAAAGTGGTTTGCAATTAGAAACTAATCAGGACACACATGTTGTGGCTGGGGCCTGACATCTGCATTGCAGTGCTGCCTCGAGCAGAGGGAGAACAACTCGAGCAGGGAAAACTCGCCAGTGGGAGCAGCCCCCCTCCAGACTGGCAAGGTGCAGCCTGTGATAAGCTCTGTCACCAGAACCCCCCTGCTTGCTGCATTGCTGTCTGCAGCTGGAAGGGATCAGGCAGGCAGGGAAATGGAAGGAACAATTTATCTCTGTGGATGTGGTGGTTACAGGGTGCACAATCCAATATTGGCTGTCTTGTGGAGTGACGTCCTCGTGTCTGGGGGGTTTTAATGAGCCCTCTGCTTGTCTGCTCCACTGTTTATCTGCACAGTATCACAGACACTTCCAGCCAGGCTCAGGTTTTCAGCAGCCTCAGTGTCTGCCAGGCTGCAAGGGGTGATTAGAAAAGTCTCCAGGGTGCCTATTATTGGGGTCCAAAACATCCATGTTCCAGTCTGCCTTGGTGCTGATTGATTTGAGGGCAGCCAGTCACTCAATCCCCACTTTCTTTGCAGCTCACATACAAAGGAGGAGGATGCAAAGCTCATTTAGCCCTTCCTCAACACAAGAAAATTTCAGGCAGCATTGCTTGACCACTACATATTTACAGCACATATTTGGATAATCATGGCTCTCTCTTGGTGGTTCTCTCTCTCAGCTTGTCTGAAATTTGTCCCCCCTCTTCATCCTTTCCCCACCACCAGCTCAGTTCACTCTTAGTGCATGAATCATGACATGCTGAGAGTTAAAGGATGTCCCAAAGGGGGCTGAGGGGTTGGAGCAACAGGAGGTGGGTTCCTCTCTCCCTCTTTCCCATCGGATGCTGCTGCTGGCAAATCCTCCCAGAGAAGGAGAAGCCCTCCCCACTGCTGACACATTGCCTGGCATTTGCTCTGCCTGCAGGTGGGTTAAACCTGGGGAGTGTTGTTTTCTCTCAGCACTAATGGAGAGATAATTTCCCAGATAAATGGAGCTGCTCCCACCACCCTGCCTGTGACAGCAGGGCACCCTCCTGCCTTGGGACGTGGGACTGGGGAAATCCTAGTGCCTTGTGTCCCTTACCTCAGTGCCCAGCACACAGAGGGGCTGCTGTTCTCCAGGAACATTCCTGCCTCCAGCAGGACTCCCTGGGGTCAGCAGCCTGCCAGATCCCATGGCTGCCCCGGGGCTGTGACACCGCGCCCATCGCACTCAGCCCCGCCTGGCATCGGGAGCACAAAGCTCCTTCTGTGCCGGGGCTCTGAAACGTTACCTGTCCCCGGCAGCTCTCAGCCTTTGTCATCCCAATCCCATTGTGTTCTGTGCTGCCATTCCTGCTCTTTCCCAGCCAGGCAGGGAGATGGAGCCTGGCCTGATGGGAGCGATACCAGGGGGGTGTGGGTGACACAGACTTTCCATTGCAGGGACCTTGGGAAGAGCACTCAGAGAACTTGGCTGCAAGGACAAGGTGACAGTGGAGTGTGTGCCTCTGCTAGTAAAATTCCCATCTTGTTTCAGAGCAGGTGTGAAGGATCAGCTGGCAAGAAGTGCCCTGTTTGTTATCAGCTCTTAAACTGTGCAGCAGCTCACCTTGTTTTGGTGATCTTGATGATCCTGTGCTCAGTGGAGTGTAACATTTGGGACCTAGCTGGCCTTTTGGAAAACAGCAGGAATGTCTGATGATCAGTTAAGTTGTGAGGCCACAGATACTGGGAATCTAAACTGAAGGCTGTGTCCTTTTTGTGAACACTGCCTTGGTTCTGGCACTCTTCAGTGAAGTGTTTTCACTGGAGCAGGAGGCGTAGAGTTGTGAGCACGGCGTCCTCTCTTTCTTCCAAATCCCACTGCAGCCACGGCTGGGATTTCTGAAACTGTAGGAGCCCAAACTGTGTTGTCAGGAAGCTGTTTTGACACCAGTCAGCTTGAACATCTCAGGCTGGTGGTAATTTCACCTTCCTCAGCAAGACACTTCTCCCTAGTGGGACACTGAGCTCGCGTCAGTGCCAGGGTGCAGCCTGGGGACTGTGGGACAGTGACTGGAGTGCTTGGGCTTTCTGGGGCTTTCTGCTGGAACCAGTGTCAATGTTTTCTCATGGGAGATGTGCACTGGCTGTACCATAACTCTGGACTTGTTGAATTTTCCAGGTATCACGAGCTGGTAACCAAGTATGGGAAGCTGGAGCCCTTGGCAGTGGTGGACCTGCGGCCTCAGAGCAGCGCCAAGGTGGAGGTTCACTTCCAGGACAAGGTGGAGGAGATGTCCATCCGCCTTGACCAGACTGTGGCAGAGCTGAAGAAGCACTTAAAAACTGTGGTGCAGCTGTCAACAAGCAACATGCTGCTCTTCTACTTGGACCAGGAAGCTCCTTTTGGTCCTGAGGAGATGAAATACAGCTCGCGGGCGCTGCATTCCTACGGCATCCGGGATGGGGATAAAATTTACGTGGAGCCCAGAATGAAATAGCCTTTTTGCCCACACCCACACGCCCCCACACACCCACACACATGCATTGAGGAGTTTGTTGCAAGGTTTTTATTTCGGTTGGTTGGTTGAGGTTTGGTTGTGTTTCTGTAGCAGGTAATTTCTTAGCCCGGAGGAAGTGCCCTGATGTGAGAACCATGCCCACCATCCACTGCAGGTGACCTTGAGGTGACAGTTGACTTCAGGACGTGTGTTTCAGTGTGGGCAATACCTTGATGTTTCCTTTGATGCTCCGGTATACTCGTGATTTGGCATGAATGGTCAGTTGTTCAAGCTAAACAATGCCAGGGTCCATAAGGGAGGAGACAGCTCGGTGCAGAATTTGACCTGTTGTTTTCTTTTCCTGAATTTTTTGGTGTTTTGCTCCACCAGATCTCCCTTTGGCCTAGCTATCCAACTGTGGCTCGAGCTTGCTGTAGTATTTTCTTGCAGCTTGGTGCTGTCTCAACCTTTTGTTGTGCTCGAGTTCACAGGAAAAATTTCCATCAGTATTCTGCTTGATTCAGAGCTCAGGTACTTTAGTGCATCCACTTCACTCCACTGGTTTGCTTTCTGTGAGTGCACAACATGGGGGAAAGAAAAAGAACTTCCCAGAAAGAAACTTTCTTTTCAAAGTGCACGCTCTGTATCCACCTGATTTTGGGGGGAAAAAAGACGTTTTGGCTGCTGTACCCATCTCACATGGTGCCTGCAGCCTGTGGGGATAAAGGATGTGTTGGAAAGTGAATTTTGGGAGGTGGTGGATGAGCGCTGCATTGGAAGGGCTTTCAGAACAACAGGTCAACAAGGGGTTAAAGAGCAGCTTCCCCTGTTGTCCATCCTGATGCTGAAGAGATCCTCCGTGCACTTCACCTTGTACCAGTGGGTGCTGCAAGTGGAATGGCTAAAATCCCTCTCCTGGGAGAGAGGAAGAGTCAAGTTGAAGTTTGTGTTTGTTGCTGTTGCACCAGTTCAAACCTAGCACTTTGCCCGGGGCCCCTGGCCGGGGGTCCCTGCGTAGGGTCCGGACTCGGAGGAGGTCTTGGCTTGGATCAGCCTCTGGAGGTGGAGGAACAAAGCAGCTGGACCCACGCTGGGTGTTCAGCAGAGCCCACGTTTGGGTGCTCAGCAGGACCCATGTTGGATGTTCAGCTGGACCCATGTTGGGTGTTCAGCAGGGTTCATTCCAACAAAGCTGCTGGACTCACATTGGGTGTTCAGCAGAGCCCAACATTGGGTGCTCAGCAGGACCCACTTTGGATGCCCAGCAGGTTTCACTCAAAGAAAGCAGCTGGACCCACGTTGGGTGCTCAGCTGGACCCACGTTGAGTGCTCAGCAGACCCACGTTGGGTGCTCAGCTGGACCCATGTTGGGTGCTCAGCAGGACCCACTTTGGATGTCCAGCAGGTTTCATTCGAAAGCAGCAGGACCCACGTTGGGTGCTCAGCTGGACCCACGTTGGGTGCCCAGCAGGACCCACGTTGGGTGCCCAGCAGGACCCACGTTGGATGTCCAGCAGGTTTCACTCAAAGAAAGCAGCAGGACCCACGTTGGATGCCCAGCAGGTTTCACTCAAAGAAAGCAGCTGGACCCACGTTGGGTGCCCAGCAGGACCCACGTTGGACGCCCAGCAGGTTTCTCTCTCTCTCTCCCTCCCTCTCTCTCGGCTTCCCCCACGCGCCCCTCGCAGGCATCGCGTGCTGCTGCTTCACGTAGTCCCCGTTTTCTACTGCAGAGCAGATCCCCCTGCCTGGTCAGTGAAATCCTCCTCCTTCTTTCCTCTCTTGTTTCGCTTTCCTGTGTCTTGCCTGCTCCAAGTTCAAGAGTTTCCCAATTTCCTGGTTACAAGCAGCTGCTCAGCAGTTTTTGGAGCTGTGCAGTGAGGGCTCTAGTTACACATGAACTCCTGACCTTCATTTTGAAATGCTCCCTTTATCCCCACGTGCACTTTCTTTCCCAGGATGCTTTTTCCCACATCACTGAGCTCCTTTGGTATTCTTGGAGTTGTGTATTTCTCTTCACATTTTACCTGGATTGTGGGGTGGGATCATTGGGGAGGGGACTAAGTATTATTATCTCATAGTCTTCAGGTTTAGGATTTGGGGATTGTTCAGAGGGGATCAGTTCCTTATCCAAAGCAAGGGTTAAAATGGGAGGATTTAAAACAAGTTACTAAAATTTGTGCCTCATCCCCCTGCCAAAAATAGCAATTTCTTGGCCCCATTGAGATGAGCAATAGGGAAGGGAGTGAGATTTTCCACAGGTAGCATAGATTTTCATAGATCCGTGGTACCTGTAAACTAAACAGCAGGGAGATAGTGGCAGTATAACATAAAATGATGCTTTTATAATCTAGAGCTTTACTGAAGATGTATTTTCCATTTGGGCAGCGAAAATAATTTGCTGCCTGATAGCAGAACCCTTAAGCCAACACTTCTGTATGATATATACATACCTACCAATAGGAAAAGTTGTGGTTAATAAGATATTTTGTTATAAAGCAAAGTTTTATGAAGATATGGTTGTTTAATATTAGAAACCTATTTCAGCCCTTGACCTCCAGTGTGAGTAGGATATCCCTGAGTGGCTGCAGAGTCCGAGGCAAGCGACCTGTGGGGATGCAAAAGTGTCTGTGACCCAATTCTCCAGAGCAGTAATTGCCTCTGTGGGTGTATTTATGGCATTGTACCTGCTATTAGTGAGATGCTGTAACTCTTGACCAACTTCCTCAGCACAATTAAGAGTCTGGGTTTCAGAGAAGGGAATAAACAAAGGCCATTAAAGAGTGGAATGGGATGATAAAGAAGGGCCAAGTAGATGCTTTTAAGTTTGTTTGCCCACTAAAAATTGGGCTGTCCATGGAGGGATTGGTGCTGTCACCAGCTCAGAACTGGCAGTAAATCCTGCTTTTATTTGTGACAGACCTGGTGGGAAGATGGGAAAAGAGAGCACAGAAGGTTGACAGGTGCTGGGGATTTGGTGCTGACACCCAAACCTGCTCCCCTGGTCCCTTCAGGTATGAAATCACCACCCTGCTGCTTCTCCAGGGCAAGGTTTTCCTCAAGGCATTCACCTTGTGTGCAGACAGTGGAGCAGTCGTGGGGTAGAAACCAAAAGTGTTGGTTGGCTTCCCAAGGAGAAGGGCTCACCCCAAAACCAGAGAGAGTTTGTGTGGGACCAAACAGCACCCAAGGATGTGGCAAAATACCCCAAATCATGGTGCCTTGTGGGGAAGGGTCTTGTGTGTGTGCCACCCAACAGGGGACCATGTCTTGGGGAGAGGGGAGAAGGTTTGGGTGCTCAGTGAGGGTGCAGATGTGGCAGGAGGTTTGATTTAAACCATGTCCAGGCATTGCCATGATTTGGGCCATGTCCAAGCATTGCCAGAGCGTGCCCTCTTCAGCTAAAGGTCCCTGGGTCTGTCACATCCACTTGAGAAAACAAAACAGATGTGCAAGCTTCACTGGTTTGTGTGTCCTTCTGCCTGAGGGCTGCTTTTGTTGTGCTGTTCCTGCATCAAAGTCTGCCATGGGCAGCCTGCACAGCAGGCAGAGCACCTGCTCCACGAGGACTTGGGTGACAGCTGAATACCAAAGTGTCCCACGGCTCTGTGTGCCAAGTTTGAGGCTGTGCTGTGTGGTTTTGGAGATGTTCCTGTTCAATATCCATATTTCTGGCCAGATGTTCCAGGCAGATCGCTGTTATGAACACGCACGGGGTGCTGGCTGTCCTCTGCTCGCTGGCTGGGGTTTGTCACCTGGTTTTTTGGGAGCTGCAGGCAGGCTGGTGGCAGGTGTGACCGTGGTGGCTTGGGGGCCGTGCTGCTGGCTCTCCTGCTCGGGTGTGCAGTCCAATGGAGGCACCACAGCTCTGCCTCCTCTCTTGTCAGTGAGGTTCTGTAGGTTCTGTGCGAGATCTGAGAATGCAAACAAGGTGCTTAAAGCAGCCCAGAGGCTAAAATCTGTATTCCTGTGCCTCCCTGGTTTGGATGTGGCATTTTGTAGCAGCAGAGAGACGCCTTCCCCAGAGCAGCCTTAGAGGGGCTTCAGCCACCTCGGGCCTTTCCCTCTGTGATTGCTTTTCTGCAGTTCCTGGAAACTTCAAATATAATTTAAACACGAAGATCTGTTCTTGCTCCCTGTTAATGTTGCATCCATATGTAATTTCAAAGAAGAAGAACTGTAAGTCCATCTGGTTTTTTATTCTGGTTTCTCTCCCAGGGGATACACCTCCCGCTCCCACAATTTGCCTTTGGTTTGCTTGCAGACTTAGTGGTGGAATTCAGGCCAAAATAGGTCATTGGTTTGGATCAGTTCAATAAACTTATGTAAGTTTTTACACTAAAACCCCCAGTGTCCTGAGCTTTGCACTTTTGTGTCCTCTGAAGCAAAAATGTTCCCTGTTGTCACCCCAAAGGTGTGAGTGAAAACTGCCAGGATTTTATTTTTTTTTGTCCTGCTGGTGATTTTGTTGTGTGTCCGTGAGCTTGGGCACAGCCACCTCCCCTGTGCAAGGAGAGAAGTCCCTTCCAGGAGAGCTGGGAGATCTGTTCCTCCTCTGGACTGCATTTCCCCAGGACTGGGACTCATCCCCACTTGCAGGTGAGGAATAAAGCTCAAGCTCACTCCCTCTCTCCTCAGAGGGACTGGCCTTGGGGTTAAAACAAATTCCACCCTCATGGCCTGCACCAAATGACCCTGGGGGAGGTGGGAGGAGAGAGATGCTCCTCTGGATGGGAAAGAGCTCCTGGGCAAATCCATTTCCAGGGCATCTTCCATGGGCTGTGCTGGAGATGGGAACAAGACAAGGCCCTGCCTGGGGCTACTGTGCCAAGGTCAAGCAGCCACAGAAACCCTTGTGGCATCTTTGAATCTTGTTTGTCCTCAAGGTAAGGCATGGGAGGAAGTTTTCTGCTAGAAGAATTAAGAAAAAAAAGAAGAAGAAGTGTTTGGTTGTTCAGCTGCAATGTGTTCAGTGCTGCATGATGGGAACATCCCTGCCAAAAGAAGAGAGGCTGGAAGAAAAAATCTTCCCCAAAGAGTCAGTGAGACCTAATCAAACTTCATCAGTGTTCACTTGCCCAGACAAACAGGACCAGAATATTAAACTGACAAAGGAGCAGAGGGAAACCTAATTTCACCAGTTTTCTCTGTGTTACAAAACAGAATGAGGGAGTCAATTGATTTTCCTGGAGCTGGTTGTGTTTAAAATGTATGGGAGGGAAGGGAAGAGCCAGGGTACAGGCTGGAAGTAATCTGCCCCTGGAATATCAGTCAGTGCTGATATCCCCCTGCCCTCCTAAAATAGCTTAGGAAAAGGTAAAAATAAATTTAAAAATGAAAGATTCCTGCTAGCAAGGCCGTGTTGGAGGATGGAGGGAAAGCAAATTCTGGGATTTGCTGTGGAGGCAGTGAGCTGCCTGGTGCCCTGATGTGCTGGGAGAGGTAAGAGACAGCTTTTTGGGGAAAACTCACTGAACACACTGAACACAGGGGAAAAAAAAGTCTGGGCTTCTTGTTGGGCTGCTGGCATTCCTGTCTGCTCTCTGTTCCTGACAAAGGGTGGGGAGAACAAGGGGAATGAAGAGCTCCTAGCGGGGAAAATGGGGAATAAAAGGCCCCCACCCCAAATGTCAGAGGGGAAAATCAGCTGAGCTCAGGCTGTTTTCCTGTGCTGGGGTTGGAGCAGTGCCTGTCTGAGCTGAGCCTTGCTGCAGGATGGAAAATCAGCTCCAACGTGGCTCTGCTGAGGGACCCTTCACCCCTCAGCTGCTGTTCCAGCTCTCCCTCTCATCCAACATGGATATGAACCAACTCAAAGCAGTTGAAATAATTTTTGGGGGTACAGATTGGACTCAGATGTAGAGCTGTGGTCAGCTCAGATGCCAGAGGCAGGGAAAATCCCTGTGGAAACTGCAGCTGTAGGAGTGAAAATGATAATAATGCTCACAGCAGTGGAGCTCCCCACCAGCACCAGAGAGGGTGGAAATGGGAACAGCAAAGAAACCTTCTGTGGGCTGGACTGGGTGAGGTTTTCCTTTTCCACCTGTAAAAAAGCAGGACTTGGATGGCAAAGCAGCTCCATTGAAGCTCCAGGGCAGTGCCTTTGAACCTAGCACTGTTTAATGCTAATCCTGTAACTTTATATAGATGGGCTTTTTTTTTTTCTCCCCCCCTTTACACAAAGGAGGAAGGGGCTCAATTCTTCTGAGGGTTGGGTTTTCTGTTCCCTGAGCAGCAGAGCTGCGAGCCCAGCTCTGTCTCTCTGGCATTTCCATCTGAATCCATCTGAAGGGGGTGAGCTTTTGGGGAAGAAAGAGGCTTCTCTCCCTCTCCAGGCCAGAATCTGATCTCCAGATTAGCCTGCTGGTTATCAACAGAGGAGCAACAGTTGTGATTGCAACTCAACACTGCTCCAGCCCTGGAGGAGCATTGAGGAAAAGGGAGTTTTCAATTGGGAGAGCAAAGGGCTGAGCCATCGTTTCGGTCAGCAGCAATAATTGGCATGGCAGCACGGGCATGCATTCCCCATTGACATAGGATTTCTCCCTGCTCTACCAAGACTGGGCTAAAATTTCAGACCTGATTGCTCCTCTAGCCTACAAACAGGTTGGTAATTTATTTTTTTTTTTCCATACCTAAAAAATGGTATTTTTGGATGGGATGTGTTCAGTAGCGCGTTCTTTGCTGTCTGTCCTGCTTTGCTCTTGTCCTTGCACTGCCACAATTCCCTCTGGTCCCTCTCTGCTAATGAGACTCAGATCTACATTCTATACAAAATTCTGCCTCTCTCCTTTCACCTTTCCAAGACAGGGAATGTGCTAAAACTTCTCCTTGGTGGAATGAACTTTTCCCCATGGAGAATGGGCTCGCGAAGGTCTTTCCTTCCACCGTGTTCCAAACTCTGAGTGATGGGAGTGATGTGGGATAAATTATGGGATATTCCCCCCCTAATCCTGTACTCTGTGGCATTAGAAGAACTTGGATCTGTAAATCCACATTTTCCATAAAAACAGATCCATGGGGAGAACACAAAGGGTTTTTAGGGAGATTTTGAATCTGTAAATCCACATTTTCCATAAAAACAGATCCATGGGGAGAACACAAAGGGTTTTTAGGGAGATTGTTAAGGCTGGGAGGCTGCTGTTGACACCCAGGCTGTTCATCATGCACAGTTGGTGTGGGGAGCTCCCAAATCCCTTCCCAGCTCTCCTGGTGAATCCCAGACCTTTCCTGGGAGCCCTCCCTGAGCCCTGCCCGTGCGGAACGAGCACAATCCACAGGCAAAGAAATCAAAGCAGGTGTTTTAGCAATATTTTCTATTGGATTAATAACCAGTAACAAATTGCATTAGGCACAGAAGGAATTAGAGCTGGCACAGGATTCCGCTCTCATTTTGCATCTTCACTCTCTCAGTCTCTCATTGATTCCTGTACAAGGAGCTGCCCAGCTGTGTAAATGTTTGTGCTCCTTCCACGCTCATCCAGCGCCCTGAGTGATGGCTCTGGTGGCAGCCAGGGCAGAGCATTTGCTGAAGCTGAAGCCCCTGGACCATGAGAGCTCATCACAGCTCTGCTGTGGAGCGGAGCTGCTCCCCTGGGATCATCCCTGCTCCAAGCAGATCAGGAATTGCTCAGGAGAATAAGGAGCACACGGAGGGCTGTGGCTGTTCACAGCTCCCAGACATGAAATGAGCTCTTCCAGGTGTTTCTGGGCTTCCTTTGGCAGTGGTTTGCTGTTATCACCAGGTGTTTCAGGGTTTTCTGGCAGGTGAGGGACCTCACCTGAAACATCCACATGTCAGCAGCAGCCAGGCAGCTTCAGGAATCCCCTCAAAGATGAGTTTTCCTACCGATGTGATGCATGGCTGGGTTTGTCTCCTTCCTGTAGGATGAACAAGAGATCATTTCTGGGAGCCTGGGTGGCCCTTTTGGTGATAGCAGCACAGCAGCGAGGTGAGTATCCCCCAGCAGGAAAATATTCCCCAGCTGGGCTGTGCCCAGAGACCCCAGAGGGCTTGGAAAATGACCCCAGAGGGTTTGGGAAACCATCCCAGAGGATTTGGGGAAACCATCCCAGAGGGTTTGGGAAACACCCCAGAGGGTTTTGGGGAAACACCCCCAGGTCCTTGGCTGGAGCAAAAGCAAGAATCAGAGTGACCTGAGTGTTCCCCACGGGGAGGGAGGGACTGAGAATCCCGAGGGCTGCTCGTGTTTATCATTTGTGTGGCTGTGTGTGCACCTGGAGCATTGCAGAGGAAGCAGGAGTTTGGAAAATGTCTGTGCCAGGGCTGCTGAGCAGGCCTGGTAGAGTGGCACTGATAGAGCTAAAGAAGAATTGAGGAAGCTCTGCTGAGCCTTCTGTTTAAAAATGGAGTAAAATCCGTGTCCTGTAGCTGTGCCTTGGTTGTGATAACTCCTCAGGTGTGTAACAGCTGTGAAATTATTTATTTTACTGCCTGGCAAGAGGAATTTTGCTGTGGCCCTTTGGATATGTCTGTGGAAACAGGGCTGTGGCTTGGACACCCTCAATGCCACCTCCCCTGTGTCCAACAGGGCACTCAGGGCACACCAATGTCTTAGGAAATCAGGATGCCAGTGGGTTAGGCCAGATTTCCCCTTTTCCCAGGGAAAATTGGAGCCTGGGAAGGGTCCATCAGTGACTCCTTAATGCTCAGAGCATGGAGCACCCTCAGAGCTGGCACCAAGGAGAGCCCCCTGTGTGCCCATGGGATCACAGAGCAGCCTGGAGACCCCCAGGAGCTCAGGGCATGTCCTGAACCCAGGTGAACAGAGCCAGGATTGTTCCAAGCCCGGGGGCTCTGTCATCCCAGATTGAATGATTGAATGTCATGAGGGCTTTCCTGCATCAAAGAGGGGAGAAGGGGGAGGCAAACCCAGAAAAATCTCATTTTGCTCTGTGAGGAGCTGACTGGAGGAGCAGGACGTGAAATGACAGCAGAAGTCTGGCTGGGACAAGAAGGGAAATGTGTCCTGGGGCCTGAAGTGGCTGCTTGTGCCTCAAGCTGATGGATTTTAGGCTGGTAAAAAAGCAGCAGGCTGAAATGTGTCAAAAACCATCCTCTGAAGCACTTTTGGGACAGACAGCTATGTCCTCTGGCAGTGCCTTTTAGCAGGAAAGCGAATTTTGCTGGGCAATGTGGGAGCTGTGAGCCCGACAGGAGCCCTGGCAGGGCAGGAGGAAGGTGGGCACTGCCAGGAACGTGGCTCTGGGGGCTGCAGTCGGTGCTGTTTGCCCCCCTGAGCACCTCACGGCTGGAACAGCCTCTCCTGCCCACCCTGGAGCAGGGCATGGAGCTGCTGTCCCCCTGTGAAGCCAAGATTGGGGAGTTTGGCTTGGTCACAGTCCCAGGGCAGGAAAAACGGCAGCTGGGGTCAGCCTGTGGTCACTTGGCTTTGCCCTGGGTAACCTGGATGAGGCTTTTCCTCCTGAGCCCGGCCTAAAGCCAGTCCCACAGCTCTGCCCTGGCTCCAAGCACCCTTTGGCTGCTGATGTTGGGGTTTGGTGCTGTTTTCTGCTTTGGCTGCTGATTTTTGGGTTTGGTGCTGTTTTCTGTGGCCTCTCTGAAATCAGGACTGCCCTGGCCCTGCTCTCAGGACTCTTCTCCCTCTCCTTGCAGCTCACACCATGGCAAGCCTGTACCCATACTGGCAGAACGACACCAAAACCCCCAAAGTGGACGATGGCAGCTCCCCTGAAATCAAGATCTCTGTGCCATTCATCTTTTTTGGAGCCCAATACAGAAGCATTTATGTAAGTGGAGAAAGCAGATCTTCCCTTCATCCTTTTCCTTGCCATTATTGGCTGCATTTTAAACATGCTCTGCCTGTCACCAGGAATTGGAAGATTTATTAGCAGGCACCTGACAAGTTCTTAGATTTCATGAACTGATAGGTTTTATGATTAAGAAAGTCAAAGGTATATTTAATGGGATAATGTTCATAGGAAAGGAATCTAAAAGGCAATAAATTTTCTTTGTGGGTGATTAAATGGCACAGCAAAGCGAAGGGCTTGACACAAGGGACATTATTCCTGCTCCATGACAAGAAACAAGAACATGCAGGACCTGCAGGGGGGAAAGGGGGCAGCAGCTTTATGGGGGCCCCAGACAAGGACAGGCTGCTGCTGCTGCTCCCAGGTGATGGCACAGCAAAGCCTGGCTAAGGGGACAGCAGGGCTGGGCTGAGAGGGCTCCCCTGAGCTCACCCAAACCTCAGACAGGGCCTAAGTCAGCCTGACTGTGCCACATCCCGAGTTATGTGTTTTTGTGGGATCAGAAGAGAGGCAAAGACTCATCCATTCTCCAGCTGGTGTCTGTGCACAGCAGCACTGGGAAAGCAGAATCCCATTCCAAACCCTTTTCTGGTGGGGATTCCAGCACCCAGGGCAGCAGTGCCATTTGTTATCCATCCTTTGCAAAAATGTCGTTTTGGGGAGCATCTTCAGCAGACCCTGGGGAGGCTGAGGTGGCACCTCCGTGCTCCTGGGGAGCCCCAGGATCTGTCACAGATGACAAAGCCAAGGGCAGTTTTGTCCATGCAGCCACCTGCACCATCATCCACGTCCCTCAGTGCTGCAGGGCTGAGGAATCCCAAAAATTGAGCAATCCCAAAAACTGAGCAATCCCAGGAGCAGTGCCTCAGCAGATTTGGGTGCCATCTCCTGCAGAACCTTATATTGAAGAATTTTCAGGGTTTTGGGGCTTTCAGGGTTTTGGGGCCACCATGGGTAGGATGAAGCTGAGTCATGCTCGGGCTGCTCACCCTCTGTCCGTGTATGGGGAGAGAGGGTTTGGGTTCACGCTTCCCACCAAACCAGCCTCTCTGTGCTGCTTTAGTCTGCCAAACCCCCTCTTGGGGAGCCCCAGGATCTGTTACAGATGACAAAGCCAAGGGCAGTTTTGTCCATGCAGCCACCTGCACCATCATCCACATCCCTCAGTGCTGCAGGGCTGAGTAATCCCAAAAATTGAGCAATCCCAAAAATTGAGCAATCCCGGGAGCAGTGCCTCAGCAGATTTGGGTGCCATCTCCTCCAGAACCTTATATTGAAGAATTTTCAGGGTTTTGAGGCTTCCTGCACCAACTCTTGCCCACCATGGGTAGGATGAAGCTGAGTCATGCTCGGGCTGCTCACCCTCTGTCCATGTATGGGGAGAGAGGGTTTGGGTTCATGCTTCCCACCAAACCAGCCTCTCTGTGCTGCTTTATTCTGCCAAACCACACTTGCTCAGACACCATGGGGGTCTCCACGCAGGTCAACAACAATGGAGTGATCTCCTTCAACGCCCTGGTCAGCCAGTTCACGCCCGAGGCCTTCCCGCTGACCGACGGCCGCGCCTTCGTGGCGCCCTTCTGGGCCGACGTGCACAACGGCATCCGCGGGGAGATCTTCTACAGGGAGAGCACGGAGCCAGAGCTGCTCCTCAGGGCCTCCAGGGACATCCGCAGGCACTTCAGGGACATGGCCTCCTTCTCTGCCCGCTGGCTCTTCATCGTCACCTGGGAGGAGGTCACCTTCTACGGGGGGAGCAGCACGACGCCGGTGAGCAGCTTCTCATGAGTGTTTTTTATGTCTTGTCCTCTAAAGGGGAATTTTTTTTTTTATTTTATGTCTTGTCCCCTCCAAAGAGGTAAATTTTAGAAATTTTAGGGGTTGATGGAGGTGTTCTTCACCGTCTGTGTGTAAAATTGAGGAGGTGACCTTCTACAGGGGAAGCAGCATGACGCTGGTGAGGGATTCTCGTGGGTGGATTTTATGTCTTGTCCTGTAAAGAGGGGAGGTTTTTTTATTTTATGTCTTGTCCCCTCCAAAGAGGTGAAATTTAGGGGTTCATTCACCTCCAAAGAGGGGAATTTTGGGGGTTGATGGACATGTTCTTCATTATCTGTGTGTAAAATTGAGGAGGTGACCTTCTACAGGGGAAGCAGCATGACACTGGTGAGGGGCTTCTTGTGGGTGGATTTTATGCCTTGTCTTGTAAAGAGGAAAATTTTTTATTTTGTGTCTTGTCCCCTCCAAAGAGATGAATTAGGGGAATTTTGGGGGTTGATGGAGGTGTTCTTCATCATCTGTGTGTAAAATTGAGGAGGTGATGTCCTACAGGGGAAGCAGCACAACGCCGGTGAGGGGCTTCTCGTGGGTGGATTTTATGTCTTGTCCTGTAATGAGGGGAGGTTTTTATTTTATGTCTTGTCCCCTCCAAAGAGGGGAATTTTGGGGGTTCATTCACCTCCAAAGAAAGAGATTTTGGGGGTTGATGGACATGTTCTTCATCATCTGCGTGTAAAATTGAGTGAGACACTTTGTGTTCCTGCTCCCCAGTTCCCTTCTGGGCAGAGGGGATTTTTCATTCTCTCCCCTGAGCCTCGCTCCCTGCTTTAGGATCCCCAGGGAAAGCAGCTCCTCCTCAGTGTTTGCAGGATCTAAGCAAGGCTCTGACACCAATTAGGACTTTTTGGCTTGATCACAATGCATTTCTTGCATACAAATTCAGCTGTTTCTGACGGCAGCTCCCTGCCTGCATGGGAGATTGATCACGCTGATCAGAGTCACACTAATGACTTGGCCATGTCACATGGCCACAAATGTGTGAGCTGTAGCTCACAGGAGGGGGATGGCAGTGGGATGTTTGTCAGGGCATGGACAGCTTTTAAATATCTGGTGAGTTTGTGAGCTGTGACTGCAGCTGATGTCGGGAGCCTCGTGCTGGACTGCTGGTAGGGGTGAAGATAGAATCAGAGTGGTTTGGGTGGGAAAAGATCACCTCACTCCACCCCCTGCCACGGCCAGGGACACTTTCCTCTAGACCAGGCCTGCCCCAAGCCTCATTCTTGAACAGCAAATGAGGGATCCCAGCTCTTGTCTGCCTTGTTCAGGATTAGCCTGTGTGCTGTGAGTGCCAAAACCCAGCTTCTCCTGTCTCGAGGAGTTGGCTCTGATAAACAGTTCAGCTCTTTTCCATTTGTTAGAGAAGCTTGAGATTTCATGCATATTTTTTTGCCAGTCCCGGCAGCACTTGCAGAAAAACCCCACACATATATATTTATATATATATATATATTTTCAGACAGCAAGCAATATAGAGATTTGTGTATTGCCTGAAGAATTACATTTGCAACACAATGCAATTTATTTTGCTTTAGAGCAGCCTTCCTGCTCAGCAGCAGCCAGGGCTGGGGGTTGGCACGGGGAGTAGCACCATGCAACTCAAGCAGGAATTTCATCGCAATGCAGGAAAACTGCAGAAAATTTGGGAATGTGGCCTCAGGGACGCTGCAGGTGCTGCCTGGAGATGTCACCTGAGCAAATGGGTTCATTTCCTGAGGGCTGGGCAGAGAGAGGGCTCCATGGCCTCCAAAGCGGGGAATTTTGGGGGTAGATGGAAGTGTTGCTCATGAGGAGAGCCAGGTGTGAGATTCTCCTCCTGCCACCCTCCCAGAGGCTCCTGAGCATGGAAAAGCTTCTGTGGCACTCTCCAAGTGGCACTGCCTTTGTGTGTGACATGTTTGTGATCTCCCAGCATGGCAAAAGGCTTGGCAAAGGTGAGCAAGAGGAAACCTACAGGAGTAGGAGAAAGAATCTCAGGGAAAGGATGAGGAGTGGAAGTGGCTCTGCTGTGCTCCCTGCCCTGGTGTGAACTGTGCCATTTGCAGCTGCTCAGAGGCAGCTCTGCCCACACCTCTCCCTCTCTCTGTCTCTCCTGACAGCTCCCGGAGCTGCTTCGCCTCCGTGTGCCTGAGCTCTCCTGGCAGGGGCCTCGTTTCCCTGGCAGTGAAATTCCCTGTGCCGTGCAGGCGGCCCTGGGCTCCCCTCTGAGGCATCCTCAGGGCAGTGGGTTTGCTCCAAGGGGATGGGACGTGGTGCCAAGTGACCCCCAGCCCTCCCCTTCCTCCAGCAGCCACCAACCAACTGCCCACAGTGCTCAGGACTGCTGAGACAATGCAGGAGAAGCCCTGATGCTTCCCAGTGGGAGATGTTTGGGTCTGTGGGCTTTCCCAATCACCTGGGAATTGTTTCTGTGGCTGCAGTTTCCTCCCCAGGGTGCAGGGTGCAGATAGCCAGGCCTGAAGGGTTGCTCTGCATTAATTAAAAGAGAGGCAGCCCACATTTGCTAAAATCCTGCTTGCTCAGGGGCAGGAGGAGCTGCTCTCAGGGCATGGTCCCAGGACAGGAAAATGCAGGGAGCTGAGAGAAGGGACTGACCGAGCTCCCTGCTGCTGGGTCTGCAGGGATGGAGGGGATGTCTCAAGGGAAGGAGCTGCCTCTGCCTTTCTGCACAGCCCTGAAAGGGAAGATGGGCTCTTCCCACCTGGATCCTGGCTGGAACGTGGCTGGAGTCGGTGGGGCTGGAAATGCAGAGTCATTTCAAGTGAAAGCAAGAACACGAGCAGAGGATTTAGCAGGTGGGGAGGGGATTTGGCAGGCAGCAAAGTGCAGGATATACATGGCTGGCTTGGATGTAATCCACCCTCAGCAGCGTTGTAGGATGTGAATGTGGAAGGGAACCGGGAGAGATAATGCAGGAATGAAGCTAAGACAGGGTAATGGGAGATAACAGATCACAGCCACCAAATCCTGTCAGCTTATTCTCATGCTGCCATCTATTGGTGTTCCCCTGGATCTGAGGTGGTCCTCACACGCTCCCGGGTAGAGGAAGGAGCAGAATGGCAGCTTCTGGAGCAGTGGCAGCAATTTTGGGTATTTTAGGTCTCATTCCACTTCTGCTCTTCACTGTGAGGCTCACCCGGGCCAGACTTCACTGTGGCAGGAGGGCAGGAGGAAAGCTGTACCCCCTGTGAGGGTGGCCGTGGTTTCCCACAGGTGAACACGTTCCAGGCTGTCCTGATCACAGATGGGGTGTCCTCCTTTGCCCTGTTTAACTACCACGAGATCAGCTGGACCACGGGCACAGCCAGCGGAGGGGACCCCCTCACTGGTCTCGGCGGGGTGATGGCTCAGGTGAGGCTCCTGCTCCCATTCCCCATCCCTGATGAGCTCTTGGGTGGCTGCCTGTGGCTTTCCCAAAGCATCCATGCTTCCTCAGGCCACTGAGTCCCTCAGCATCCCCAGCACTGGCCTTGCACTCAGCTGCTGGGATGAGCACTCCACAATTTGGTGGTGGCAGCAGGGCCACAGCCAGTCCCTCTGCCTGAGGAAGGGGACATTGCTGCATAGGGAATGTGGGAAGCCAGCATCCCCACATTGCTTCCTCACTTCATCCCTCCCTGCATCGCTCCCCCACTTTATTTTGGCCACTCAGTTCACACACCCTTAGATCTGTGTGTACATACATATGGATCTATACAAATATAAATCTGTGAATACACTTCCCTCCTGCTTCTAGTGCCTGTTTAGCTTTTCATTCACATACAGACTACCTGAAAACAGAAATTTAGACAACCTGAAAACAGAAATCTCCAGACAGAGCTGTTAAAACTAAAGATGTACTCAGGGGGGAGTAGTTGTACTCAGGGGGAACAGAGAAGTGAGGAAATGCAGCATTGCTTTCCCATTGCCAAGATGGGTGATGGAATTTGCTCTCTCTCTGCTTTAGGCTGGCTTCAATGGTGGAAATCTCACCAACTTTTTCAGCATGCCAGGCTCCAGAACCCCAGACATTGTCAATATTGAGGAAACAACCAACGTAAACGTCCCTGGGCGCTGGGCTTTCAAAATAGATGGCAGAGAAATAGACCCGGCCAACGGCTGCAGCCTGAGAGGTAAGGGAGAAATGGCATTGCTTGCCCCCAAATTTTGGGGTGCAGTGTAGCAAAAGGTGAGGCTGTTGGGGTGCTGCATGACCTGTGCTTTTGCCAGGGTGTCCCCATGAGCTGCAGCAGGGACAGAAGCACAAGAGAGGGTTCAGTCCTTGCACATCTCTGAGTTCCTGCGATAATTGGTGGCAACAGGAAAGACCCAGGGGACAGCAATTTCCTCCTGCCTGTAAATTAGGGAAGCTGATCTTGTGCCATTTCCCTTGTTTGTGCATGAGGAGCAGCAGGTTTTGCAGGCAGGACCAATGTCATGTGTCTGCAGCAGTTACAGAGCGTGTGCCTGTCACTGACAGTGCAGGGCCATAAAGGGATTAATCGATGCACACTCTGGCTGCACAGGGGCTCTGCTGCTGAAAGATTATTGCATTTCCATTTGATAAATAAAACTGTCAGGAGCATCCACTGTGCTCCAGGAGTCTTTCCAGCAAGTGAGGATTGTCATTTGCTGACAGACATTGGAGACATGTGGCTTCTTTATGTCCTAGTTTAGGACTACTCGAGGTCCATGAGATCCCAAGGCTCTTGCAGCTCCAGCAGAGTTTTGGGTCCAGCTGCTCCAGCATTTCCCAGCTGCTGACCCCTGGAAGAAAGGCTGGACTTTGCAGAGAAGCTGGAAACCAGTGTCAGCTCTGCAGATGACAAGAGGAGTGCAAGTAGATCCCACCACTGGATTTAAATTTCACGGTGAACGGGTGATTGCCCTCCACGAGAGGAGATGCAGCACGAGGTGTTGGATCCGAGTGACACCCCCTTCCCAAATTCCCCACACCAGGGATGGTTGGAGCATGGGCCTTGCCAAGAGGAGACATTTGTTGCAGGGAAGCAGAAAACAGCTTTTTTTTTTTTTTTTTTTTTTTTGGTAGGAGGCAGGGAAGAGAACAAAAAGTTTAGGAGAGGTAAACTCAGGCAGCGCACGGCAGAAGCCACGCGCTGGAGGAGTGTGAAAAATGGCCAGATGGAGGGGAGAGAAACCTTCACGGGGACTTGCCATCCTTGTTCTCCAGCCTTCTTCCTGCCTCTGCTGTCTCTCACCAGCCAAACCCGCTCCCTCTCTGGTGCTGCCTGGGGCTGTGAGATCACTCAGCACCCTGCTGTGTATGGGGTGGAGTTGCTTATCAACAGCTCTTTGGTGTAGTAACTACTACGAGATCTTCCTGAATGGGAGTAAATTGCTCCTGGGGCTGCTGATGACAGAGTGACTTTTTGTCCAGCACAAGGGAACTGTGGAAGTGAGAGCAAAGCTGGAGGATGGTGCAAGTGCAGCAAAAGTGCTGGAAACTGCCTGCAAATGGGGCTTTTCCTTTGGGAAAACAGCACAAATCCCTCTTGTGCCCTGCAGTACTGAAGAAACAGAGTGGTGGGTGTCCAAAATGCGTGGAGTAACCTTCAAGTTTTCCAGCCTGCATGTTGCAGCACTGACCCCTGGATTTGTGACAGCACTCGCAACATTCTGGGGACTCGTGGCGTGGGCAGGACTCAAAGAGGATGCACCACACATTAGAAATGAAACTTGGGATTTGCTGAGCAGCTCTTGCTGGGAGTTTGCACAAAGAAAGCAGCTGAGAAGCCCAGCAGCAGGACACGGTGGTGGTGTCTCCACCACAGGCCCAGCAGGCCCCGAGGGTGGCTCAGAGCGTGGTTCTGATTCAAGAGGTGATGTAGCGTGGGTTTTCCCCTTTCTGTCTTTCTAGGACAGTTTCTCCGCCAAGGGGAGATCTTTTGGGACAACTCCAACTGCACCACCAAGTGCCGCTGCCTGGACTTCAACAATGAGATCCTCTGCCAGGACATGGCCTGTGGCCCCTTCGAGGCGTGTGAGACGAAGAGCAAATTCTTCCAGTGCGTGCCGGTGGAGAGCAGCACCTGCGTGGTGTTCGGAGATCCACATTACCACACCTTCGACGGCTTCCTCTTTCACTTCCAGGGTTCCTGCTCCTACCTCCTCGCCAGGCAGTGCTGGCCAGGCTCCCAGCTGCCCTACTTCAACGTGGAGGCCAAGAATGAGAACCGAGGCGGCTCCTCCGTCTCCTGGCTGAGGGATATTTATGTGGAGGTCTACTCGCACAAGATTGTTCTCCCCAGGGGCGGCTTTGGGAAGGCAAAGGTAAGAGCTCTGCTGGAAGGGGAGAACTTGCCAGGGCAGCTCCTCTGAGGTGGCAGCAGCCTGGAGAGTGTGGGATGGCACTTCTGGGCCTTGTGTGTCCTGGGGAATGGGCAGGGTGACACGAAGGGCCTGTAGCTTACCAATGGCTGTCCCTCTGTGCATGTCCCTATTCCAAGACTGTCGCAGACATCTTCTATGAAAATTCCTTTCCTTAGGATTTTTCCTCTTGAGAAGCTGAGAGGCCTCAAAAACAAAATGTAAACAATGGTTATCTGCTGCTGTGGAATGCAACAGGTGCATCTGGGATTGGCCCATGTTGGTTGTTTCTAATTATTGGCCAATCAAAGTGAGCTGGCTCAGACTCTCTGTCCGAGCCACGAGCCTTTGTTATCATTCTTTCTTTTTCTATTCTTAGCTAGCCTTCTGAGGAAATCCTTTCTTCTATTCTTTTAGTATAGATTTAATATAATATATATCATAAAATAATAAATCAAACCTTCTGAAACATGGAGTCAGATCCTCATCTCTTCCCTCATCCTAAGACCCCGTGAACACGGTCACACAGGACCCCACAGCAGGGCTGTCCTGTCCGTGTCCCAGCACGAGGGCTCTGCTGCTCCATGCGCTGGCTCAGCCGCTGGGTGTTGTCCCCGCAGGTGGACGATCTGGTGGTGTCCCTGCCCATCTCCTTGGAACTGGGTGCAATCAAGGTCTACCAAAGCGGGCTGTCCACTGCCCTGGAGACTGACTTTGGCCTGCTGGTGACCTACGATGGGCAGCACTACGCCTCCGTGTCCGTGCCGGGCTCCTACATCAACGCCACGTGCGGGCTGTGCGGCAATTACAACAAAGACCCCGAGGACGACGTGCTGCGCTCAGATGGGAGGGTGGCCACGTCCGTGCCAGAGCTGGGGGAGAGCTGGCAGGTGCCACACCCCGAGCGCAGGTGCTCCACGGGCTGCCTGGAGAACTGCAGCCTCTGCGACCCCGCCACCGAGGCGCTCTATTTCACCCCCGACTACTGCGGCTTCATCAACAAGAGCGGAGGGCCCCTCTGGGAGTGTGGCTCTGTGCTGGATCCCACTGCCTTCATCCACAGCTGTGTCTACGACCTCTGCAGCGCCAAGGACAATGGCACCGGGCTGTGCCAGGCCATCCAGGCATATGCCACCGTGTGCCAGGCCCTGGGCATCTCGGTGGGAGAGTGGAGGAGCCAGACGGGATGTGGTGAGTGTTTGCCAGGGGTTTGCCTGTGTGCCCAGGAATGGTGACAGGACGGGGAGGAAATCCAAGGGAGGGGATTGCCTGGAGTGGAGGGAGTTGAGAGAGAACTGATTGGTCCCTCCTCTCGACGGCATCACACCCTTGCTCCAGCAAAAGTGTGGCACAAGTCAGGTGTGAGGTGAGAGCTCCACATTGCTCTGGAGGTCATCTGCTGCCACGAGGAGGGTTGGAGGCTGGACTGGAATGGGGAATGGTCGGTCAGTCCACCATCCTTGTCACCTTAAATAGCTGTGGGTGACTCAGTGGCTCTGGGGCTATTTTGGAGAAACTCAGGACTGGCCAGGGAGACCTGGGTGGGAAACTGTGACCGTGTTCACAGGGGTCTGAGGATGAGGGAAGAGACGAGGATCTGACTCCATGTTTCAGAAGGCTTGATTTATTATTTTATGATATGTATTACATTAAAACTATATTAAAAGAATAGAAGAAAGGATTTCATCAGAAGGCCAGCTAAGAATAGAAAAAGAAGGAATGATAACAAAGGCTTGTGGTTTGGGCTCTCTGTCCGAGCCAGCTGGGCTGTGATTGGCCATTAATTAGAAACAACCACATGAGCCCAATCCCAGATGCACCTGTTGCATTCCACAGCAGCAGATAATCAATGTTTACATTTTGTTCCTGAGGCCTCTCAGCTTCTCAGGAGGAAAAATCCTAAGGAAAGGAATTTTCATAAAAGATGTCTGTGACAGGAAATGGGGGTGGCAATCCTGCCCCTGAGGGGTTCACAGGTCTCTCTGTGCTGTCTCAGTGAGAGGGTGGACTCTGCTGTAACACGTCCTTCTGTTTGTCACCCCTCTGTGCCCACAGCGGCGGCCGTGCAGTGCCCAGAGCTCAGCCAGTACTCGGTGTGTGCCAGCAGCTGCCCTGCCACCTGCTCAGACCTCACAGCCCCCCTGGCCTGCACCTCGCCCTGCACCGAGAGCTGCGAGTGCCCCGAGGGCCACGTGCTCAGCGCCGACCGCTGCGTCCCCGTCCAGGGCTGCGGCTGCGACGTCAACGGCCGCTACTACGCCGTCGGGGAGTCCTTCTGGGCATCCCCAGACTGCACTGTGCACTGCCACTGCCAGGCTGGAGGGGAGGCCAGCTGCTTCAACACCACCTGCCCCGAGGGAGAGATCTGCACCATCGAGAACGGCTACCGGGGGTGCTACCCGAAGAGGGAGACTGTGTGTTTGGTGGGGCAGGACCAGGTGCTGCAGACCTTTGATGGCATCACCTTCCCCTACCCGCTGGAGCAGTCCTACACACTGCTCAAGACCTGCCCAGAGAGGCCAGACTTCATCGAGGTGGACATCAACCAGAAGAAGGTTGGCTCTGCTCCCAACGGGCCGCGCGTCGTGCGGGTCCAGGCTGCTGGCCAAGAGGTGAAGATTGGAGGCACCAGGCTGTCGGACATTAAGGTAAAGGTGCTGCCCAGGGACAGGGTGGGAGATGGTGGCTTGTGGTGTGATCCAGTGGAGGTTATGGGTCTGTGGCTGTGGACACCACAGGGACACTTGAACCATCATGTGGAGGCCCTTTTGGTGCCTGTGAAGTTGTTGCCACAGCCCTGCTCCTTCTGTTTGCTGAGGAGCCTTTCCTGCCTCCTCCTTCTCCTGCAACTTGCTTTTGCCCTGGAAGAAAAATTGCTTTTTGTGGGGCAAAAACCAAAGATACATCTGTCTGCCCTCACTCAGAGGATGCTCTGGGCCTTGGAGGGAGGGTCTGGGTCAGGGAGTGTTTAATGTGCACAGTGTGGTTGGGCAAGGCCACATCACCCTCCCTGAAGCCTCTCCACCTTGTTCCTTGCAGGTGAATGGATATGACGTGGACCTGCCCTATTTCCACCACTCTGGGCGCCTGGAAATCTACCGGACTGACAACAGCACCGTGATGGAGTCTGAGGGGCTCCTGGCCATCAGCTACTACGACTCTGGGCTCCTGGAGATCCGCCTGTCCACCTCCTACTTCAACTGCACCGGGGGCCTCTGCGGCCTCTTCAATGACAACGCCACCGACGAGTTCTCCCTGCCCAAGGGCAAGTTCACGGAAAACCTGGAGCTCTTCCTGGAGAGCTGGACCACCTTTGATGAGATCTGCAATGGCGAGTGCGGGGACCTGCTCATGGCTTGCAACAACGACTCGGAGCTGCTCAAGTCCTACAGGAGCCGCTCCAGCTGTGGCATCATCAATGACCCCACCAACAGCTCCTTCCTGGAGTGTCACAGCGTGGTCAACGTCTCAGCCTACTACAGGACGTGCCTCTTCCGCCTGTGCCAGAGTGGGGGGAACGTGTCGGAGCTGTGTGACTCGGTGGCACGCTACGCCAGCGCCTGCAAGAACGCCGACGTGGACATCGGCCAGTGGAGGAGCCACAGCTTCTGCCGTGAGTCCACCAAAGATCTTCATCACCCAGGGTGGGCAGAAGGGAGTTTGGAACCCACCAAACTCAGGCAGAGTCGTTTTGGTGGGGATTTGTGGGCGTGCAGAGGCGGAGCAGCTTTTTGTGTGGGATGCTGGAATCACAGGCAGTGGTTTCTGGTGCCAGCAGAGAGAGATTTCCCAGGGAAGCGGTTTCAGGGTGGCATTTCAGGAGGCAGCAGAAGTTTTATGGGGCACCGTAGGAGCGTTCTGGAGCCACAGATGGTGTCTGGTGGTGCTGTACGCCACCACCAGAGGATAATTTGAATAACACTGGATTTTAGCTGTCGCTGTAAACTTGCCTCATAACTCATAAGCAAATGTGAAAAATCCCAAGTGTGGCAGTAGGTGGTGGGAAGGCTGTGCCTGTCTCTGCCTCAGAGGTGTTTGTTTGGGAAATAACAGGAGGAGGTGATGTTTGGCACGTGGCAGGACAGGGTTGAGATGTGAGGGGGATGATGGCTGAGGGGAGAAAGGGTTGCAAAGGGAATGGGATGAGCCAGTGGCCACAGGTGCTGGGACTGTTTCCCCTTTTCCCCAAATCCATCACCACCCGCTTTTTGCCTGTTCCTCACCCCGTGCTGTCAGAGCTGGGGGCTCAGGCTGTGTTTGCCAACCCTGCAGCTCTCTCCTGCCCGGAGAACAGCCACTTTGAGGAGTGCATGAGCTGCGTGGAGACCTGCGAGAGCCTGGCCTCAGGCCCCGTGTGCAGGGACACCTGCTCGGAGGGCTGCCAGTGCGACGAGGGCTTCGCCCTGCGCGGCACCCGCTGCATCCCCCGCCGCGAGTGCGGCTGCAACTTTGAGGGCCGCCAGCTGGCCACCAACCAGACCTTCTGGATGGACATCTCCTGCCACTTCCTGTGCTACTGCAACGGCTCGGACAACAGCGTGTACTGCGAGAACGTGTCCTGCAAGGACGACGAGTATTGCCTGGAGGAGAACGGCCTCTACTACTGCCATGTCCGCACCGACGCCTCCTGCATCATCTCGGGCTATGGGCACTACCTGACCTTTGATGGCTACTCCTTCGACTTCCAGAGCAGCTGTGAGCTGGTGCTGGTCACCAGCATCTCCCGGCCCAGGGTGGAGCGCTCGGACACGTTCCCAGTGTTCACTGTCACGGCCAAGAACGAGGATCGGGACACCTCTCTGGCCCTGTGGGTGAAGCAGGTGGAAGTGGAGGTCTTCAATTACAGGATTGTCATCCACCGTGCCTACAAATACACCGTGCTGGTGAGTGCAGGGCCGTGAGGGCTGTCATTATTTCTGCAGGTGTGACTCCCAAATTGTGGAGCAAAGCCCTAGACATGAGGCCTTAGGGTTTATAAGGTTTTCTGGGGGTCAGATCATGCCTTGGGCTCATCCTAGGGTGCTGCCAGGCACAACTTTTGGAGAGGATTTCTGTTTTGGCTGTGGAGGTGAGGTCAGCGGGGACTTTTCTCTGGGAATGCCGAGCCACTCTCATTTGTGTCCTTCTGTGGGAGCTCCCAGCATCACTCCCCCTCACAGTGTTTGCCTTGATCCCTCCCTGCAGATCAACGACGAGCGTCTCTACCTGCCCCTGAAGCTGGGCCAGGGCAAAGTGAACATCTTCGCCTTTGGTTTCCACATCGTGGTGGAGACAGACTTCGGGCTGAAGGTGGTGTACGACTGGAAGACCTTCCTGTCTGTCACCATCCCACGGGGCTTCCAGAACCTCACCTATGGCCTCTGTGGCCGCTACAATGGCAACCCTGAGGACGACCTGGTGGCTGCAGGGGGGACACCGGCCTCCAGCATCAGTGACTTTGTGCAGAGCTGGGCCAAGCGGGACGCGTTCTGCCGCGTGGGCTGCGGCGACCGCTGCCCGGCCTGCGGCAAGGTGGAAGGATTCTGGAAGCCCCAGCAGCTCTGCAGCCTCATCCCCAGCCAAAGTGGTGTCTTTGCCAAGTGCCACAGCAAGATCAACCCCGGCTTCTTCTACAAGAACTGCCTCTTTGACACCTGCGTGGATGGGGGGGCCATGCAGACAGCCTGCAGCTGGCTGCAGAACTATGCCAGCACATGCCAGACTCAGGGCATTGCCATCACTGGCTGGAGGAACTTCACCTCGTGCTGTAAGTGCCACCATGCCTCCAGGTCCTTCTTTTCCTGGGGTGCCAGGGAGGGGGAGGCCAAGGACCTGGCAGCCAATTCCTCCCATGCTTGGAGGGTGAAGTGGGTGAAGTCTGGGACACCGTATTCTCCTGGAGTTGTCACAAACTGCATGTGGTACAGCAGGAGCAGGGATGGAAAAGGGGAAGTCTCAAGGTCAGAAGGTACAGGGACGGAAAAGGGTAAGCCTCAGGCTCAGAAGGGACATGGGTGGAAAATGGAAAGCCCCAAGCTCAGAAGGGACAGGGATGGAAAATGGAAAGCCCCAAGCTCAGAAGGGACAGGGAGGGAAAGGGGGAGCCTCAAGCTCAGAAGGGACAGGGATGGAAAATGGAAAGCCCCAGGCTCAGAAGCCATCCCCCCACTGCTAACCAGGAATTATATCAGTCAGCCTCAGTGCCAGCAGTGTGTGTTTGCTCTAATGAAGCTGCAGCCCCTTGTCAATAAGATGACGATGTGCTGTTCAATCAGGCTCCTGAGGATGGGCACCGCACGCATCCCTGGCAGCCAATCTGTCTGGCAAATCAAATGGGAAGTAATTGTCCTTGCTAACAAGACTGAAAATTAAATTTGTGTCGTTTTTCCCTTCTAACAAGCAAGCTCATGGCTCAGAGGCCCCGCTCTCACAGGGTGGTGAGGCCACAGACTGGCACCATGCATGACAGGTCTGAATCAGTCCCTGGTGAGGAGCCAGGCTGGTGGTGTCCATGGAGCTGATCTGTGCCTGTTTTGTCCCCTGCTCAGCTGTCAGCTGTCCCCCCAACAGCCACTACGAGAGCTGTGTGTCGCTGTGCCAGCCCCGATGCGCGGCCATCCGCCTGAAGAGCGACTGCAGCCACTACTGCGTGGAGGGCTGCCAGTGTGACCCTGGCTACGTCCTCAATGGCAAGAGCTGCATCCTGCCCCACAACTGTGGCTGCTACTCTGATGGCAAATATTACGAGGTACACAGCTCTTGGGGACTGCTCCCTCCCTCTGGATGATATTTGTGGGCAGAGTTTGAGGGGGGATGACAGTCAGGCTGGGCTGGTAGCAGGGCTAGAGAGGAGAGGGATGTCCTTCCATGGTGTGCTGCATAGGGAATCTTTCTATGCAAAAAACCATCATGCAGCAGTTGTTGGGTGAAGGTGGCCTGGGTTTCAAGCACAGGAAGGGGCTGGTGGAGGTGGGATGAAGAGAAGGTGGTGACTGGGAAGACTTTTTGATGAGTGCCAAAGTCCAGCATTGTATGACCCCATTGTGCTAGGTATTCACACATCGTAGATTCAGTGTTTCACACCAAATTTGCTTTTTCGTAGCTACTGGATGTCACTGAGGAGTTTGAAGCAGCAGAGTCCTGTGCTGATAGCACTGGTCCTGTCATAGTGGCTTGTATTTTGTGCCAGTGAAACTGTTCTGTGCAAGGCACCTGTGCTCCATGAGGAGCCAGTATTGGGGTACTGTCACATGGGCTCCCTTGCAGATGGGTTGGTGGCTGGCAGAATGCAAGAAAGAGGCCACTGTGGCTTTGTGTGTGCACAAGAGGTGAGGGAGGTTTTGGTGGCAGTGCAAACCTGAGTGTGGGTAGCAGAGATGTTGCAAGGCAGGTGCAAGCTGCCAGTGTGTTCTCTGCCCTCGTTTCCTGCTTGTCGTGTGACAGAGCGGTGCAAACCCTGTCCCAGACACCTTCTGGGCTGACAGGGCAGCCGCTGACGGGTCCCTCTTTCAGCCCAAGCAGCTCTTCTGGAGCGGGGACTGCACCCGGCGGTGCCGCTGCTTCCGGCGCAACCTGATCCAGTGCGACCCGCGGCACTGCAAGTCCGACGAGGAGTGCGGGCTGCGCAACGGCGTCCGCGGCTGCTTCAGCACCCGCAGCTCCTTCTGCCTGGCGGCCGGCGGCGGCGTCTTCCGCACCTTCGACGGCGCCTTCCTGCGCTTCCCCGCCAACTGCGCCTTCGTCCTCTCCACCATCTGCCAGAAGCTGCCCGACTTCTCCTTCCAGCTCATCATCAACTTCGACAAGTGGTCCTCGCCCAACCTCACCATCATCTCCCCTGTGTACTTCTACATCAACGAGGAGCAGATCCTCATCAGCGACAGGAACACTGTCAAGGTGGGGTCTCGTCAGGGACGTGCAGCCCCTCCAGAGTGGGGCTGGGAGGGGATAGTGGGTGGCAATCCAGGCTGCACAATGGTCTCCACAAGGACTCCAGACTACTGTCAATGTTTCCACAGATGGGGTAGTAGGAAGCAGCTGTGGAATCTTTAATGAGTGGCTCATGCCTGTAGGAGCGTCGGGGGGTAGGACAGTGGGGACAGACGGAGATGAGAGATCTCTGCAGCCAGGTCATGAAACTTGGGGTTTATTGCAAAGGGCCTGGGTGCAGGGCCCTGCTGGGAGCTGCCAGCCACAGCTCAGAGCAGGACTGAGAGAAGAGAGGGGTAGAGAGCATGAGAGGGTGAGAGAGTAAGAGGGTGAGAGAGTAAGAGGGTGAGAGAGTGAAAGGGCAAGAGAGCAAAAGCATAAGAGCGCGTAGAAGGGTGAGAGAGCGAGGTTCCCGTTACAATACAATAAATCATCTTCTGTGTTGAATATTCTAATTCTCACTAACCAATCTAGTACAATATACAAATCCTATAGCATTTACATACAACCTATAAGAATCATTACATTATCATCCTGTGTTACATTTTAAACCCTAAAAACTCCTCTTTGGGCCCCTTCTGCCAAGCTAGCAGGGTCTGCTCTGCCCCTTGGGGCTGCCTGCAAGCAGAGGGTTTTGTTTCATCAAAAGGGGATCACCTTCAGCTGGCCACACCATTGTTTTCCAGTTGTTCAGTAACTGAGGGATCTCAAAGCTTGCTTTCATTTCAATCTCACTTATAGTTTCTATATTCTCAAAATCTTTTGCCAGACAATCATATTGATAAGGCTTTCCTGTTTCATCTTCCCCAACACATGCCCACATCCATAGGCAGGGATATGGGAGGGATGTCAGCTTCGTGTCCTCTCACACTAGGTGAACGGAAGCCTCGTGAGCATCCCCTTTGTCACGGGGCTGTCCACCAAGATCTTCAGCCAGGAGGGCTTCCTGGTCATCGACTCCAGCCCCGACATCCAGATCCGCTACAACGGCTTCAATGTCATCAAAATCACCATCGGGGAGCGGCTGCAGAACAAGGTGTGCGGCCTCTGCGGCAACTTCAACGGCGACCGCACCGATGACTACGCCACGCTGCGGGGCAAGCCGGCCGTCAGCAGCGTGGTGCTGGCACAGAGCTGGAAAACCAACGGCATGCAGAAGAGGTGAGTGCACAGCCAGCCCTTCCCCACCAGGTGGGAGCGGGAATGGGAGCAGGGCTGGCCATGAAAGGAGCCCCCACCACGTGTCCGGTGCCCACAGCTGCAACGAGCTGCAGTACTCACAGTACGCCGCCTCCTGCGACAACGTCCAGATCCAGGAGCTGCAGAGTGACAGCTACTGCCTGAAGCTGACTGACATGAAAGGCTTCTTCCAGCCCTGCTACGGCCTCCTGGATCCTCTGCCTTTTTATGAGTCCTGCTTTCTGGATGGCTGCTACAACCACAAGAAGGTCCAGCTGTGCGGCTCACTGGCTGCCTACGGAGAGGCCTGCAGGACCTTTGGCATCCTGGGCACCGACTGGATCGAGAAGGAGAATTGCTGTAAGAGAACTGGGGCTGCTCAGGTCGAGGGGAGCCATGTCCCACTGGGGAGAGGGGCTAGAGGTGGCTGCCCCACGGTCTGAGGGTAAAGGTTGTGTTTGTGCTGTGTCTTGTGCTGTTTAGCAGGAGTGGTGGAAGATCCCTGCGTGGGTGCCGACTGCCCCAACCGCACCTGCGAGCTGGACAACGGTGGGGAGCTGTGCGGCTGCATCGAGCCCCCGCCCTATGGGAACAGTGAGTCCTCTGCTCCTGGCCCTATGGGAACAGTGAGTCCTCTGCTCCTGGCTGTGGGGTCAGTGCCGAGCTCCACCTTGGGCCATTTTGCCACAAGGGCTTTGAGAAGGGACATGCTGAGGGCTGTGACCTCTGCCAAGATGGGTTTTCCTGACCATGGAGGAGAGGAGAGAGCAGGGAGCAGCTTTTTTAGGGTGCAGATTATGGCATCTCTGGTTTTGGAGCACTTTGAGCAGCAGGGGTGTAGGCTGGGCAGAACACACCACAGGAGATGATCCCATCCCATTTCTGGTGGTGGAAAGAAGTGCCAAGGGGTCATTTGGGGTGATCTGAAGTTGTGTCATCTTCTCCAGCCACCCATGACATCATTGATGCGGAGGTGACCTGCAAGGCTGCCCAAATGGAGGTGTCCATTTCGAAGTGCAAGCTGTTCCAGCTGGGCTTTGAGCGCGAGGGCGTGCGGGTCAACGACCGCCACTGCCCCGGCATCGAAGGGGAGGACTTCATCTCCTTCCAGATCAACAACACCAAAGGCAACTGTGGCAACCTGGTGCAGGTGAGCTGGGACATGGGGCACACAGGGCTGGGAGTGTGGGACAGTCCACTGCAGTCAGCTCAGCTCCAGGGTTGGGGCAGGTCAGTGCACGTGATGCTTGGGAGGTGCTTTAATGGGCTGGGGGTCAAGGAGAACACAGGAAGGTTTTGTAGAGTAGGGATGCAACTCCAAGCCCCACCATTCCATACCCTTTCTGGCCAGAGGTGATGGGGCAGCAGGTCCCTTGTCACCCAGCTCATTTAGAGGTGCTCATTAGGAGCAGGGAAGCAGGGACGCCTGGCATTAAGCAGTGCCCTGTGCTCCCTCTGCAGTCCAACAGCACTCACATAGTGTACAAGAACACGGTGTGGATCGAGAGTGCCAACAACACGGGCAACATCATCACCCGGGACAGGACCATCAACGTGGAGTTCTCCTGTGCCTATGAGCTGGACATCAAGATCTCCCTGGACTCAGTTGTGCGGCCAATGCTCAGGTAGGAGCGGGGCCCATTACACAGACGGGTGAGGCGGTGCTGGTTCTGAAGCCAGGCAACAATTTGGGGGTTCAAAACCTTCCCACCAACTGAGCCAGTGTTTCTTTGTCATTGTTAGCGTGATTAACCTGACGGTGCCGACGCAGGAAGGGAGCTTCACAACCAAGATGGCCCTGTACAAGAACTCATCCTACAAGCACCCGTACCGGCAGGGCGAGGTGGTGCTCACCACCCGGGACGTGCTCTACGTGGGGGTCTTTGTGGTGGGGGCCGACTCCAACCACTTGATCCTGATGCTGAACAAGTGCTACGCCACCCCCTCGCGGGACAGCAACGACAAACTGCGCTACTTCATCATCGAGGGAGGGTGAGCTACCACGAGCCCCAGTGGTTTTCATGGTGTCTGGAAGGGCGGTGGCATCAGCTGGCACAAGGACCTTTAGGACAATGGGATGGTTGATCAAAATCTGGAAAGGGTGAGGAGCAGTGTTGTTAGAGCAGGAATTAATTTGCTTGGTGTGGACACAGCCAGAAGCCCTGTGTGTGACAGAGCACCAGGTGCAGAGAGAAGCTCTTTCCTTGTGTCCATGACACTGTGGACAACACCTAACTGCAGGAGACAGGGGGATAGGGATCATGCACAGGCATTTTGGGAAGCTGGAAATGGCAGAGAGAGGTGACAGAGGCAAGGCATGACGCCCTTGTCCAGACAAGCCGTGGCAGGGTCTAAGCATCCCACTGTGGGATCTGGGGTGAGGGTACAGGGAGGGTCACAGGAGGGTGGTGCTGAGCATCAGTGCTTTGCACAGGTGCCAGAACATGAAGGACAACACCATTGGCATCGAGGAGAATGGGGTGTCCCTGACGTGTCGCTTCCACGTCACCGTCTTCAAGTTCATCGGGGACTACGACGAGGTTCACCTGCACTGCGCCGTGTCCCTCTGTGATTCTGAGAAATACTCCTGCAAAATCGTGAGTGGGGCCAGTGCACAGGGAGGGGATGCTTGATCTGAAGGGCTCTTCAAGCATGCAGTGAAGATGCCCTGATGATGTGGCATTGGAGAGGTGACCAGAGATGTAGCCCTAGGGGTGAGATGGAAGGGTTGTGTGTCCCTCTAGGCACGGGGAGGAGATGCTCTGTCACAGGCAGGTCACCCTGGGACCTTGTGACAGAGTTCACAGGGTCTGAGGATGAGAGAAGAGACGAGGATCTGACTCCATGTTTCAGAAGGCTTGATTTATTATTTTATTATATATATTATATTAAAACTGTACTAAAAGAATAGAAGAAAGGATTCCCTCAGAAGGCTGGCTTAGAATAGAAAAAGAATAGAATGACAACAAAGGCTTGTGGCTCGGACAGAGAGTCCGAGCCAGCTGGACTGTGATTGGCCATTAATCAGAAACAACCACATGAGCCCAATCCCAGCTGCACCTGTTGCATTCCACAGCAGCAGATAACCATTGTTTGCATTTTGTTCCTGAGGCCTCTCAGCTTCTCAGGAGGAACAATCCTAAGGAAAGGATTTTCCATAAAAAATATGACAGGACCTGTGCTGTCTGAGCCTGGTTGCAGGGTCCCTCTGGGAGCTGGGACAGGTGGAGGGGCACGGAGGGGGCCTGGGCAGAGGCTGAGGGTGACAGAGGTGGTGTTTATCCCCAAACAGAACTGCCCTCAGCACACGAGGATGGCCAGTGCCTTCGGCGAGGAGTCCAAGGAGCAGATCCTCTCAGTGGGACCTATCAGGAGGAAGAGTAAGTGTGGGACCCCAGGGAAGGCTGGAGGGGTTTGTCTGCCATCCCAGCCTCGAGGAGCCGAGGATCAGGGATTGAGAGCGTGGCTCAGGTGTCCCCCTTTGCCGTTTGTGTCCAGGATCAGACTGGTGCGAGGACAACGGAGGCTGTGAGCAGATCTGCACGAGCCGGGCGGACGGGCCCTTGTGCAGCTGCGTGACAGGGACACTGCAAGGGGACGGCAAAAGCTGCAGGGGCAAGTACCAGGGTCAGGGTGGGCACAGCAGGGGACTGCCAGCCCCAAACTGGGAGCTGTGGGGTGAGCAGTGTGGGAAAGGGGCTGGGACATGTGGTGTGTCACAGACAGGAGGGGTGTGGAGGGCAGGGAGCCAGCTGTGCCCTGTCCCTGTCACTGAGGGCTGGGAGGGCACTGCTGGCACTGTGCATCCCATGGCATCTTCATCCTCTGGCTAAGGGAAAAAAACCCCAAGAAATGCTCATTTTCTTTAAAGTTAAACAAAATAACCGATCCCTGATCCCTGCTGGCATGGTGGCAACAGGGCACGAGCCATGTTTAACATCTCAGCCTCTGGCTAAGAAAAGCTGACGCTGGCAGGGGGCTGTGTACAAATCACGAACAGGACGGGGCTGCTGTAGAACTTGCCTTGAACTGTATTATTTTCCAGCATCAGTCTCATTATGTGATTATGACAATGGGAAGATACCACCAGCTCACATCTTAGGCAGCAGACCAATAATTTAATGTTACAACTTACTTTATAAGTTTTTTGACCTATCACACCAAGCAAAAGCATATTTTTCAATCCAATCACTATAAACACAGGTACCTTTGGTTAAAACAATGCTTGTTTATTTCAAATACAATACCTGCTTGTAAGCCTTAAAACACAATGCACAGAGTTCCATTATTAAGCCACAACTTTCCTAATATCTTGTGAGATAAACTTTTCTGTAGCTTAGAGAGTTATTCTAGACAAGTGTTAATACACAGACCATTGTTCTATTTGTCCTTGCTTTTCTACTTTTTAAATAATTTTTCTGCTGACCAATCTCATGGCTGCTGCTTAGCTCCAATCACAGTTCTACTGCCTCTGAAGCCTGCCTTTTGCAGCTTTTCCAAAACCCTCTAATTTTGTGAATTCGCCCAAGAAACAACGATTTTGTGAATTCCCCCAAGAAACAACCTCAGAAGAGCTGGCAGGCAGCTGCAAGGGAGGCGATGGTGCCTGCATGGCACAGGGCAGGGTGGAGTAAATGCAGTGGGTCCGGGAGCCCAGCAAGGAGGTCGGGCATTGGGGTGGGAACGATGTGAGGGGCATCTGGCAGGGAGGCACCCAGAGCCCCAGCTGACGTGGATCTTGTTGTGTTGGCAGCCTCCAGCTCTTCAGGGGAGCACCGTGCCCGAGTGACCCTGCTGCTGGCGGCCCAGCTGTGGCTGTGGCTGCGCTCAGCTCCGCGGCCCCTGCCCTCGTAGGCGCGGCCCCGCCGCCCAGCCAAAAACTGTTCTCGCGTCAGCCGGAGTCTTTGTAGGGTAGGAGACAGCCCCCCCCTGCCATGGCCACGCCGCTGCCCACCCGGCCATGCAAGGGATGTCACCTGAGAGAGAGGTGGGACGCGGAGCCGGCGGTGACGCGCGGCCGGCACGGCGGCAGCGACGGCTGGAGCAGGATGTTGGTGTTTGCCAGCAGCCACGTGGCACTGGGGTTTGGGGGTTTTTTTTTGCAGCTTTCCATCATTGATGTGGACTCAAGGAGGGGTTTTGCAGCTTTTCCCCAGGCTCTCCTTTGTGGGGTGATGAGGTGGCCCACACCACTGTTAGTGTGGGACAGGGTGGAGCATGTGCTGTCCCCTCACGTCTCCACTGTCCTTGGGAGCTGCCACCAGGGTCTTATGAGCTCACAGACTCCAGCAGAGGTAGGTGTTGGGCACAGGTCATGGCCAGACAGTGCATTGCCATCTCTGCATGGTGTGACACCTTGGGACCGTGTCACCCTCTGACTCTCCAGAGCAGAGGTGGTGCTGAGGTTTGGTTCAGAGAGCCAAGCTCATCCATGGGGGTCTGGAAATCTTGGCATTGTGCTGTGGTGGTGACAAGCTGGTGCCAATAATTGGAACCAGGTGCTTTCTGGTGGGCAGGAACAAGAATCAGAGGAAGGATTAAATTCTCTGCCATGTTTGTGTGGTGTGCAAGGGTCAGAGCAGGGTTGGGGTCTGTGGGCCCAGGGCAGCATTGGGGTGCTGGTGAAAGAGTGGGGAGCAGCCTTGGGGTGCTGGTGGGTGTGGGGGGGCTGTGTTGGTGTCTTGTCTTGTGTTTGTACTCTGTGAAACGGCTGCGTGGGAATAAAAAGTGTTGTAATCCTTGGTAAGCACCGGCTCCTGTGTGGTGGGGGTGAGGAGCAGCAGGGCCTGGCAGGACACCAGGGCTGCCCAGAGTCCCTGGGAGGGATGGACGGGGAGTTTTGGGGTGCCAGGCAGGGGCACAGCAGAGCTGAGGACACAGGTTGTGGCTGGAGTGTGGGTCTGGCAGGTTTGCCATGGAGTGGGCTGGGATGCAGGGCAGAAGGAGCGGAGGAGATTTGGGCTCTGGGGCAGGAGGGCAGCTGGTTCCTCTGCCTCGAGACAAGAGGTGGGTAACAGAATGCCATGGACTCTGCTCTGCCAGTTCTCTGCCTCTCAGCCCCCTCTCTGTGCCCTCTGTGTGTGTGTCAGCTCGGAATTCTCTCCTTCACCCCTCTTTGCTCCCTGTCACTGCCTCTCTACTCTCTGCTGCCTCATTCCCCCATCTCTGCTCCCTCTGTCCTCACTCTTCCCTCTCTCTGTGCTTCTTTCCCATCCCTCTCCTGTCCCTGCTCTCTGCTCCTTCTCAGTGTCACTCTCAGCTGGCTCCAGTGTCTCTGTCTCTTTGCCCTCTCTCCCCCATATTTTCCCTCTGCTCTCTCTGCCTCTGTGCCCCCTGCACCTCCCTCTTTGCTCTCCAGGTCTCCCATCTCCCTCTCCAGTCTCTCTTTGCCCCTGGCCACGTCTCCCACCCTCATTTCAGCATTAATTCCTGAACTGCTGAAGATGGCAGCAGTGTGGCTGTGCTGCACCCCAGGGAGCTGCCTGGGGGCTCTGGGGGACACCCCGAGGATGGAGAGGATCCCCCAGGCACTGGAGGGGCTGATGGTGCTGGTGGCCTTTGGTGGCTGAGCAGGTGAGTGAACAACACAGTGGAGTGGTGGGGAGCACTGCGAGAGCGTGTGGGGATGTTAAATATTTCCTTTGGCTCTTCAAGGGTTTGGCAGATTGTCCAAAGAGTGATGGTGACAGGAGAGCCTGAGTGTGGGGACCACACTGACCACAGCACTGACCACAGCACTGACCACAGCACTGACCACAGGCCTGACCACAGCACTGACCACAGCACTGCCACAGCACTGACCACAGAACTGACCACAGCACTGACCTCGGCACTGACCACAGCACTGACCACAGCACTGACCACAGCACTGACCACAGAACTGACCACAGCACTGACCACAGCACTGACCACAGAATTGACCACAGCACTGACCACAGCACTGACCCCAGCACTGACCCCAGCACTGACCACAGGCCTGACTACAGCACTGACCACAGGCCTGACCACAGCACTGACCACAGCACTGACCACAGCACTGACCACAGAACTGACCACAGCACTGACCACAGCACTGACCCCAGCACTGACCCCAGCACTGACCCCAGCACTGACCCCAGCACTGACCACAGGCCTGACTACAGCACTGACCACAGGCCTGACCATAGCACTGACCACAGCACTGACCACAGCACTGACCACAGCACTGACCACAGGCCTGACCACAGGCCTGACCATAGCACTGACCACAGCACTGACCACAGCACTGACCACAGGCCTGACCACAGGCCTGACCATAGCACTGACCACAGCACTGACCACAGAACTGACCACAGCACTGACCACAGAACTGACCACAGGCCTGACCACAGCACTGACCACAGCACTGACCACAGCACTGACCACAGAACTGACCACAGGCCTGACCACAGGCCTGACCACAGCACTGACCACAGCACTGACCACAGCACTGACCTCAGCACTGACCACAGAACTGACCACAGCACTGACCACAGCACTGACCACAGCACTGACCACAGCACTGACCTCAGCACTGACCACAGCACTGACCACAAGCCTGACCACAGCACTGACCACAGCATTGACCACAGCACTGACCACAGGCCTGACCACAGCACTGACCCCAGCACTGACCACAGCCCTTGCTGGGAAGGATGAAAGTTTGACAAGAAAGTCTCACAGATCTGTGTGCTTGGCAGAAAGATTTTTGAATGTAGAATCTGAAGAAGGAATAGAAATGGAAGCAAGTTTTGATCTAGAAGAAAAGAATTGCTGAGCCAGGATTACTGGCTAACCAAGGAGGCAAAGGGTGTGCTAAGGGGTTTTTATGACTTAGAGCAAAGGATAAACTCACCCCAAACAAGAAGATGTTTGTACCAAGCACAAAGAGAGCACAGGCAAACAAGGCAGCAAAGGTTGCAAGTACAAAAAAGGTCTCAGAATTTTCCACTGCAAGAAAACTGAAAAACAACTTCGAGCTTCAACTGTAATGTACTGACTTTTATTCCAGCTGCACATGGTTTTCTTTTGCAGACTCCTGGCTGATTTAGCCCAAATTTATTAAAGAGTGATTACCTACCTCTGTATTAATGATGATTAAAACCAAACCCTGGTTGAGTTGTGCTGTTAATGGTGGTTCTCCAATAAACTTGGTTTAAAGTTTCAAACGCTGTCGGTGTCTTTTACATCCATCCAAGATCTGCAGCTTCAGAGGGTGACAGAGTGGGGGGACAGAGGGAACAGATTGGGTGAGAAGAGACAGAGCTGGAGAGCTCTGAGCTGCTCCAAATGCACAGGAATTTCACCAGCCCAAATTCCAAGGGGGCACAGAAGGAGCTGTGGCACAGGGGAGGGCTGGGAGCTTTGTCAGGAATAACTCTGTTCACTCTAAGGAACCCAAACGAGCAAGAGAAACCCCAAATTATTCAGAACTGACATCAAGTAAGCCCCAGAAAGATGCAAAGTGACCCCAAAGTGTGTGGAGAGTGTGAGTTTGAGCTGAAGAAACCCTGAGGGCCTGAAGGAACCACAAGTTGTCATTTTTGACCTCCAGTAATCCCAAAATGACCTAAATAACCCCAAAAGTGACCTCAAGTAATCTCAAAGTCTTCTGGAGAGAGTTTGAACTCCAATAACCCCAATGACCCAGAGTAACCCCAATGACCTATAGTAACCCCAGATTTTAAGGATTGACCTCTAGTAACCCCAAAATGACCTGAAGTGACCTCAAAAGTGACCTAAAGTAACCCCAAAATTTTCAGGAGAGAGCAAGTTTGACCTCAAGTAACCCCAATGACCTATAGTAACCCCAAATTTTAAGGATTGACCTCTAGTAACCCCAAATTTTAAGGATTGACCTCTAGTAACCCCAAAATGACCTCTAGTGACCCCAAAATGACCTGAAGTGACCCCAAAATGACCTGAAATGACCCCAAAGTTTTCTGCAAAGACCATCTTTGACCTCTAATAACCCCAATGACCTATAGTAACCCCAAATTTTAGTTTTTGACCTCAAGTAACCCCAAAATGACCTGAAGTGACCCCAAAAGTGACCTAAAGTAACCCCAAAATTTTCAGGAGAGAGTGAGTTTGACCTCAAGTAACCCCAATGACCTATAGTAACCCCAATGACCTCTAGTAACCCCCAATTTTAATTTGCTTAGGTTTCCAAAGGTCAAACTCATGCTCTATGGAGCACTTTGGGATTAATTTCACCATTTTGTGGGTTACTAGAGGGCCACAATTAAAATTGGGGGTTACTATAGGTCATTGGGGTTATTAGAGGTCAAAGTTGGTCTTTGCAGAAAACTTTGGGGTCATTTCAGGTCATTTTGGGGTCACTAGAGGTCATTTTGGGGTTACTTGAGGTCAAAACCTAAAATTTGGGGTTACTATAGGTCATTGGGGTTACTTGAGGTCAAACTTGCTCTCTCCTGAAAATTTGGGGTTACTTTAGGTCACTTTTGGGGTTACTATAGGTCATTTTGGGGTTACTAGAGGTCATTTTGGGGTTACTTGAGGTCAAAAACTAAAATTTGGGGTCACTAGAGGTCATTTTGGGGTTACTTGAGGTCAAAACCTAAAATTTGGGGTTACTATAGGTCATTGGGGTTACTTGAGGTCAAACTTGCTCTCTCCTGAAAATTTGGGGTTATTTTAGGTCACTTTTGGGGTTACTATAGGTCATTTTGGGGTTACTAGAGGTCATTGTGGGGTTACTTGAGGTCAAAAACTAAAATTTGGGGTCACTAGAGGTCATTTTGGGGTTACTTGAGGTCAAAAATTAAAATCTGGGGTTACTATAGGTCATTGGGGTTATTAGAGGTCAAAGTTGGTCTTTGCAGAAAATTTTGGGGTCACTTCAGGTCATTTTGGGGTTATGACCCCCATAAGAAACCCCAATTATTTGGTGGAAGCCACACTTGTACCAAACAAAAAAAAAAGTCTCTAAGTTCTAATAAAAAGAGCAAACAGGGCTGATTTAAAATAATTTTTATTGAGAAATAATAATTATGCACAACTTTTTCGACCAAATATTTCCCCCAGCTGAGGCCAACCCATTTTATTTTAATGGCTGAAAAAAGACGATTCCAGAAGGAATGAAAGTTCTGCACAGCATTTCCTCATGGACCAATGATGGATTTCAATTTTTTACCCCTCCATCATCTTTCCATATCACTATCCTGCATTTGTCCTAGATGGACAAAAATGTGCACCAAACATGGAATTTTTTGGAGTGCCAAATATATCTATGTCATCTATATCTATATCTACCTATATCATCTATATATCTGTAGCTATATAGATATACATACTTATATATTTAGATAGATATAGATATATAGACATAGATCTCTATTTATATATATTTATATATTTATATATTTATATATATAGGTATCTATATATTTATATTTATATATAGATATATATAGATAGATATAGATATCTAGATATCTATTTATATGGATATTTATATATTTATATATATATATTTATAGATAGATATAGATATAGATAGATATAGATATCTAGATATCCATTTATATATATCTCTATATATCTATATTTCTATATAGATATCTATATATATATATATAGATATATAGATATACTATAACTATATATCTATAGATATAGATATATATATAGATAGCTATATACACATATATATAAGCACACATATATTTCTATATATATTTGGGAAATATATATATATATCTATATTGTTCACAACCGAGGGGACAGCAGGGAAGGGGCTCGGAGCGGGCAGAATTCCCCAAAATTCCGCAAATTTCCCCAAAATTCCCCCTCCGGCACCGCTCCGCACGCCCCGCCCAGGCCACGCCCCATCCCAGACCACGCCCACAGTAGACTACGCCCATAACCACGCCCCGAAACGCCCCAGCCAATGGCTACGCCCCCAGCCCATCACTCCGCCCCTTTCTGCGCACTGACGTCACCGCCCGAGGTGGCGCGAGCCCTTCCGCCGGTGACGTCACGTGGCGCTACCGCGCGCGGCCCCGCCCCCGCCCCGCCCCCGCCCCGCGCCGCTCCGGGACCCCGGGCAGGTAACGGGATGGGGGGTTCGGGATGGGGATTTGGGATGGGGATTTAGGGTACCGGGATGGGGGGCACGGGCTGGGGGCACCGCCGGCACGGCCCCCGCGCTCCCCGCGCGTCCGTCCCCGCCGCTGGCCGGGCCACTCGCGGCTCCCGGACACGGTGCCGCCCCCTTGGCCGCCCACCCTGCCCAGGGAATCGCCCCGCAGGGCTCGGAACGGAGCCCCATGAGCTGCCCCCAAAGGGGATTCGCAGCCCAGAGCCACGTCCCGCACCCCACAGCCACCTGTCACCCGTCCCGCTGCCACCCACAGCCCGCTGTCCCCTGTCCTAAGTGCCCCCTCCCGCAGTCCAGCGCACAGAATTAGGCGAGTCCCCCACTCCTGCGTCTGCCCTGCTCCGCACCCACACCCTGCGTGTCCCAGATCTGCTCCCCAGTCCCGGCTGAGGCCATCCAGCCAGCCAGACAGCATGCCAGCCCTGCCAACCCCTGCCCACGTCCTGGCGGGCACCGATTTCCCGTGCTGGGCAGGGACACCTCGCTCACAGCGATCCCTTTTCCCGCAGGAGCCACCATGGATCTGGTCCTGGAAGCCGCGGACCGGCATCTCCTGACGCCCTACGTGTACCCGGCGGGGTGGCCCGAGGCCGAGCCGTGCCGACAGCTCCTCAGCCTTTTTGTCATCACCAACCTGGGCGCCCTCACCCTCTACCTGCTCTTCGGCACCTTCAGCTACTACTTCATCTTCGACCACGAGCTCAAGAAACATCCCCAGTTCCTGGAGGTGGGTGCTCCTTGCTGGCTGCTTGTCTGTGACCATGGTCACAGGGGTCTGAGGATGGGGGAAGCTCACTGTGATTGGTCATTAATTAGAAACAACCACATGAGACCAATCCCAGATCCACCTGTTGCATTCCACAGCAGCAGGTAATCGTTGTTTGCATTTTGTTCCTGAGAGTTCTCAGTTTCTCGGGAGGAAAAATCCTAAGAAAAAGATTTTTCATAAAAGATGTCTATGACACTTGTCCATGCCCTGTGTGGCACTGTCCCCCTCCCCATCCCCTTGTCCATCCAAATGTCCCCTGTCAGTGGTGTGGCACGGGGTGTCCCTGCTGCCACATCCACCCCTCTCCGCCTGCTCTTGCCCTCCATCATCCCTGTGCCACAACCCACTGACCCCAACACCCAGCTCGAGCGCAGCTGTCCCCATATCAGCAGCACCCTGTGTCCCACACCATGGCACAGATGCCACAACAAAGGGGTGGCCAAGATGCCAGCCCTCCCAGCCTTATGAGGGGCACTGGGGCTCTCAGATGTGCCCTGTGCCCCCTGACCCCTCTTGCCACACCCCACAGAACCAGGCGAGCTGGGAAATGTCCCCTGACCCCTGTTGTCACACCCCACAGAGCCAGGTGAGCCTGGAAATGTCCCCTGTGCCCCTGAATCCTCTTGCCGCACCCCACAGAGCCAGGTAGAAGTGTCCCCTGTGCCCCTGACCCTGTTGTCACACCCCACCTAGAACCAGGTGAGCTCAGAAATGTCCCCTGTGCCCCTTGACCCCTCTTGCCACACCCCACAGAACCAGGTGAGCTCAGAAATGTCCCCTGTGCCCCCTGACCCTGTTGTCACACCCCACAGAACCAGGAGATGTCGCCTGTGCCCCCTGACCCCTCTTGCCACACCCCACAGAACCAGGATATGTCCCCTGTGCCCCTGACCCTGTTGTCACACCCCACAGAACCAGGTGAGCTCAGAAATGTCCCCTGTGCCCCTGACCCTGCTGTCACACCCCACAGAACCAGGTGAGCCGGGAGATCTCCTACGCCCTGCGCTCCCTGCCCTGGATCAGTGTCCCCACTGTCGCCCTGTTCTTCGCCGAGGTGCGGGGCTACAGCAAACTCTACGACAACATCGAGGACTCCCCGTATGGTGAGTGACCTCCCTGCACCCCCTGCCACAGCAGGGGCCCCTCCCCACCTGGGTCACCTCACTCAGACCCCATTTCTCCTGATGACAACCCCAGGAAATCCTCCTGGGTACCTGCTGTCCCTGCCTGTCAGCCAAAAGCCCAGGTTCTCTGTAGGGGAGGCACCCAGACACCCT